CAAAAGTGTAATAGAAATTGTAAAAAATTATTAATACTAAAAGTTTACATAAACTATGGAAAAATAATATAATAAATTTCGGTAATGTTCTCATTCGTTATGGTCATTTTGTTTTGTAGGAAGTTTGTTGCATGTTATAATATTATTAAGTAAATTAAAAAGGCTTACTATCGTAATGGGTGTGTTGTTTCGCAAATGTTTTAGAAACATATGTATATATGTATGTATAGCTTTATGGATGAACTATTTAATCTGTTTACAAATATGTATATATAGCTATTATGGGTGACCGGATTAATCTGATTATAGAGTTGCTTTGATTAGAATTTTATTTAATATTAATTATTTATCAGTGTATCATCTCAAATTGTGTAAGAAAATATATGTTTTGATCACATGTTACAAGAAAACAGCTTGATATATCCCTTTATCGGATCTGTCATATATTTTAAGAATAGATAATATTGTTTCGGACGGGCCTCTTACTGATTAAGTATAGTTTTATGAAAATATATTTCACGGTTACGATAAACGTTAAAACTGTAGTATCATAAGACGATGCAAAACTAGTACTAAAGGTTTTTATTTGTAATCACTCTAAATAATTTTTTTCTATGCGCTATAAATATTTTAATGATAGCTTATTTTGTAAGAATGTAAGAGTTTATGTAAAGCAATAAAATAAAGTGATTGTTATTGTGCTCTGTAAAATACATATTTTCAATAATTTTAACTATACAATGTATCTTGTGATTCCATTGTTGTACACGAAAGATAAACAATCGCAAAATATACAATAGCGTGAGTACATTAATTTATAACGAATTTTTAAAACTTTGTTAACAAGCACGGATTTCGTACAAAATTTTTTAAGTATAATTTTCTTAGGAAGTCCACACAATTTTTTTATCACAGAAATAATAGATCGTTTTTGTTGGTTATCTTAAAGTATAATTATGATACTTTTTTTTGAGCTGCAAAAAGTTTTATACATATCTCTCAATATAGGGAAAGATGGAGGGGTAATGAGCGATTAACTGGCCCATTTGCCCGAGTACTCACTGAAACCTAGCGATGAACCTCATCGTTTAAATAAAAGGCTATGAGATCTTCCTATCATGAAATCTATAATGATCAAAGATTCTTTTTTAAAAAGAAGTAGATTATTTTGCTACACTCACCGGAGACACTGCCGTGCCCCCGGATATATGGTTTACATACATTTTTATTACATTTCCTGGCGAAAGAAGGCCAATCGTTTTCTTCGATCACTCCCATAACATACTCGTTTATACAGCTGCGTGCAAAAGTATTAGGCACCCCTATTGTTAGTCACTATCTCATTATATTGCGGTCAAGTCTGTGTTTTATGGTTTAGCTATTGTATTAGCGGCAATTTTTAACCAAATTAAGATAAAAGAAAATATTTATGACATCCAGGTGTGCTCCTAAGCGGTGTTTCTTCGAATTTGCTTTTTTTGCGTTTCGGGTTATAGTGTGTTATCAGTGCTTGCAGTGAACATACACGTCTTCTACGCAACTATTCCTATCACAATTCTAAAGACTAACATTTAACGTGTTAATCATGCCGAAAAAATCTGAACTTAGTGCTGAACAGCGTCTAAGAATTAAGATTTTACATGAACAAGGCATGTCTCAGGTTAAAATAGCCCGAGAAGTGAAGTGCTCGCGATGTGCAGTTCAATATGCTATAAATCGCTTCAAAGAGACTGGCACCCATGAAAATAGACCAAGAACAGGCAGAAGAAAAGTTACCACTGAACGGGAAGATCGATTGTTGATTAGGCAGTCTCTACAAAACAGGAAAAAAACTGCTTTAGAGCTCGCTGCAGCATTATCTGAGGCAAAAGGCAGCTCAGTGAGTGTTTATACTGTGAGAAGAAGACTTCTTAAAGCTGGATTAAAAGGATGTAAAGCAAGGAAGAAGCCGTGGCTGTCAGAACACAATAAGAAAAATCAGTTGGAGTGGGCACTCAAACATAGAGATTGGTCAGTGGAAGATTGGTCCAACATACTGTGGTCAGACGAATCTAACTTTGAGGTATTGTTATTTATTTTATGTACAATATTAAAACACATAAATGTTTTTTAAATAACGTACTGTAAGAAAAATAATAACTTTGAAAATAAATGTGTTTTTTTCGTTTGGCATAGGTGTTTGGAACACCCGGTGTGACTTATGTTAGGCGAAGGGTTGGCGAAGAATACAACCCAGAATGTGTGGTTCCCACTGTTAAGCATGGTGGAGGCTCAATAATGATCTGGGGCTGCATGGCTGCCGACGGAGTGGGCGAAATGGTGTTGTGTGAGGGACGAATGAATAGTGTTAAATACACTGAAGTTCTGGAAACAGCACACTAGCAACGTCGATAACGCAAATTTTCGGTGATACAAACACCGATGGCCTGAAATTTCAGCAAGACAACGCCACTTGCCACAAGTCCGCGCATACCATGAAGTGGTTTGCTGAAAATCATATTGATCTTTTGGACTGGCCACCACAATCACCAGACCTCAACCCGATTGAGCATATTTGGTCCATTTTAAAGAAAAATATCCGCAGGCACTCGATTAGCAATAAACAAGCTCTATTGGCCGCGTTACAGCAGGAATGGAAAAATATATCAAGAGAAGAATGTTTCAGGCTGGTAGAGTGAATGCCAAAAAGAGTGGCTGCGGTTATTAAGTCAAAAGGTGGACCTACAAAATATTAATTATTTTCTTAAAATAAACCATTGTAATCATAAATGCAGTTTTATTTACACTCGATATGCTAAAACACCCTAAAACTTGTCTTACTGTAGGGTGCCTAATAGTTTTGCCCGTGGCTGTAGTATACAATTAAAGGGTTTCTTTGGAAAAATACTGAATATGTTAACCTTTGTTTATTACATTATTTTATGTAACTTTACAATGGCGGCCGGCCAAATATATTGCATTAAAAGTGTCCCTGCGCTTTTATGATACGCTTATAAAATTAAAGTACTTGCATAAGCACTAAAAATATACCAGATAATTCTTAAATGAAAGGTGACTGAATAAATATGTTACTAAAAATGGGTTTGATGTAAGAAATATGAAAGTTTAGTTAAGTATACATTATTGTAAGATATGTTTTCACATTTTATATAGAAGAAAAAACTGTTCCTTATATATTGCATAATCAATTATTGTTTTATTAATAATTCCATAATTAAATTATATCCAAAAAGATTTTGTCATATTAATGCGTAACTATTTTAGGAGAATCTCTTGAAATTATGTAGTCTATTAATATGATGAATTGTCAATTGAGACTGGTTTCATATTTGTGGCATACTTTTGGTTTATACTTGAATATTTTTTTAAGGACAATGTAAAAGTTTCTATATTCTGGTTTTACACTATTGACTATCTTGTTATGTTCCATAGTTTCATTACGTTGGCTAATATGGGGACGGAAATATTACGTAGCGGAACCAAAGAGGTGAGAAACGTTGAAGAGGGCTTGATCTAAAGAGAAATGAGAACAGGCTAACAACAAACTGACGACCGTATTGACACGTCTACTTATTATGCACATACAATATTCTAGGTTTGTTTAGAAAACAAAACACCGTTCACTATAAAAAAATTGTTAAGAATAATTAATATTATGACTCATACTATATCATATTATATAAGTAATTTATATTGTTAATTAATAAATATGTAGAAAAATTTAATACACAGTCTGCAACGCGTAAGAGGAAATTCAATTTGTCTCATATTAATTAGCAGACGGTCCGTTTTAGACGTTTTTTATGACTATGATCGGGATAACTACAGTTTCCGTCGATTTGTTTTTGATCAGAAAGAATTGAAATAGAACTAACGTATTAGTGTTTTTTTAAATAAAATTATAGAAAATATATTCTTGTTTGCGGTATAAGAAGTTCTTTTTAACGATGGAGTAGCGAGTACTAACTTAACCTATTGGGTATCGAGTTGGTATTGAAGAAAACAAACATGTTTACACCAGTTCTGTATTTAAATAACATAAGACCTATATAACCTGCGATATGCATTAGGAATATAAATTTATAGTCTATGCACATGACGTTTGTGTTGTTATTAGCATATGAATTTAAAGTTCCTCAACCATATTTATTTCTTCTCTATTTAAACTCATTGATATAGAGAAAAAATGTTTATAGAAAACTTCGTAACATTGAAACCAACTTACAGAACACTTGAAGACAAACTTCATGTGAAACTAATCGTGTTTGACGTCATAATAAATTTGAACGTGTTAAGTGAAATTATTTTATAATTACAGTATAGCTTTAATTTCACGTAAGGTATAAAGATAAGGTTAAACAGCGATAGTTATCGTTTTAACGTTCCACTTAACTGTTGCGCTGTCACGAAAATGACATAAAATAAATATGACCTAAGATTTTAATCTTAACAAGTAATGTGATTTTGTTTTTCTATTACTTATGTCCAACATTAAAATTGAAATATTTACATCTGTTACTATGAGATCGTCGCTAGTTTGATTGATTGGAGTAGCCTTGAGTTATGGGTGTTTCAATTGACGGATTAATTGAACACAACTAGAAACAATTCGTCAGTCTGTTTTATAAACTCCTTAATTATAATTGATTGAGACTCCTAACTTTGCGATGTTATTTTATAATCCGAGAATTTTAATGTCAATAAATTTTTGTACATTATTATAAATTCCCTATTTAAATGATCCTATCCGGCTTCTTGCTTGTGATTTTAAGAAATAAGAAATAAGAATTTAGGTTAATTTATCTAATTTCTGTATTTAATCCAGTTAGGAAGAAGACATTATTAGTAACATTTTCAAAATTTGGATACTAATAACTTTTAAGCTTTATGTTCACTTAAAAGACAAATTGAAAACAAGGCAAACAAATTATTCGTCAGATAGAGCAAAGACTTAAAATATACCATCATTTTATTAAGTTATATAAAAAACGAGCCCAAGGCTACAGAGACAAAGCCAAAGTCAGTAGAGTGTATAATGTGAATATCAACTGAACAGACATTGAAGAGATTGTTTTAATACAAATTATAATTTACCTATGTAAAAATGTTATAGAGCAAGGTCTCATATAAGTAAACACCATGTGATATTATTGCTATGGTTATTTTAGAACATGCTGTAGTTTAACGTGTTTCGTATCAACAAAAATATAATCAAAGAGCCTATATACCTCATTAGGTTTATGAGGTTCTCCGCCCCAAATATCGCGCCAGTGAATGAAATTATGAAGATGGTTCATATAATTGTGATGGCGATTGTCCCTCTTTTTCCTATAATCGGGTGATGGGGGCGCAGTGAGAGACTGACGCCGACCACTGCTCGCCGCCACCACTATGGGAGGCTGCTGCAAATGAAGCAGCCTCTCCGTTTCTGGCTCATCAGATGAGCAACTGTCCGTGAGCAGTCTAGCCGATCTCGAAACCCCTCTACTGAGGCTGTGCTGTGATTCGTTCTTCTTCATTTTGTTACACAACAAACACTAGTCACCGAGTAATAACAATGCCTTATATCCGACACGTCGCGTCGCTATGATAACATCCCGTAAGTTGATAAGTCGGGCCTCGGTAGGAGCGTGGCGTGCGGCGCGGGCGACGCCAGCCACAGACTGCGGCGCGGTGGCCGGTGGCGAGTGCACGTGGGCGACGCGGGGTTCAAGCGCGTCAAAACAATGAACCGCCGGTTGCGATGTCGAAAGTTATCGGTTTCATATGTTTCAGTGAATATGCAAAGTTGTAATATAACCCAATGTTGGCACATGACCATGAATCATGACTAGCACTGACTCATTTTCAACGCAATGTGGAATATACCCAAACTATTGACTCTTAAAAAATGTATTTAAATATATAAGTAAACTTTGTGTCATTGATAACTTGTTCCTAGTAAAAATATACCTTATTAATAAATAAATAGTATGTATAATGTATATAAAACAAAAAATACATTTAACATTTATTGTATTAAGAAAAAGATAATTTGAATTATAATGTGTTTAATAATGTATTTTTTTACCACTGTATATATGGTTCTCAAAGCTGTATAAGTAAAATGAGAGCCTCAAACAGATTGCTTAAACTACATTTTAGTTTTATGTTTATTTTTGTGACAATAATATAGAAGTAATAAAGAACAAGATTTTCATAACCTTTTACATATAAAAAAATAATGTTTTAAGCTCCATTAGTATACATTGTTCTCATCAAGATGTATTTCAACACAGTTTTATATTATAAATATCATTTGTCTAAAATAATAATTATTTGGAAATAAAATCATATATTTGTACTTTACAAGTAGCTATAACAAAGAATATTTCCAACATTACAAACATAAAATACTAAACAGACAATTGTTTAGCATATAATTCATAAAATTTGTTATCTCTATTAAGTTATGAGAAGCAATACCATAAATAACGAGGTAATATAACTAAGATTGCGTACACAAAGATAACAATAGAAGTAAATATATTTAAAGACGCGAATTATCTACAGAATTTCTAGTTTGCTTACTTACTTGGACTTTAAACGCTTATTGTACGTTAGCAGCATGAGATTTTACATTACACACAATGTAAAACTTATTGGCACTTCACTGGCTTACGTAAACACTGTTATTCAATTAATGATTAATATATAAACCACATGATTTATTTTATTTTCTGTAAGGAAAACCTTAGAAAAAATTCAAATATAACATTGCTTATATGACAGTTGACATAACTGACGTTTTATTTCATTGACATTAAGGTACCTAAAATTGACTTGACAGTTTTTGTTTAGAAATAAAATATGAAACTATTGATGAGACTAAAAATATTTTTTACTGCTTGTGAATGAATAGAAAATTGTAACTAAAGCATATAAAAGGAAGATAAATACCTAGATCAGTTTCTGTGAGTTTCAGAGCTCTCGATCCCCCTTTCTGGGACCATCTTTATTTTTATGAAAATACCACTTTCTTGTTTCTCTCCGAGTTCAGAAACTGATATTACAGAAACCGAATTTTCCATATCCGTGCTTAATAGTATTTTAAATTAAATGTAATAGAAATGTGATCATTTTTTTATACAATTCAATGCTCATTTGTTAGTTACTTTCAGTTCGGTGTTACAGTGTTCGGTGTGCAATATAGTTCACACTTTCATTCTCAAATGGTCTTAAGTAAACGTCGTTTTCAACTTGAGAACTCAATTTCGATGACAACTGTAACCGACTTAACATGGCTATTAAATAGAATAAAATTCAATAAACTAAAAGTTGTGACGTTTTGATAAGGATTAGAGTTTTCAATAACATTCTCATATTTATTTAATAATTGAGTTTTTGCCACAATTTTAATTTTTACTTGGTATAATTATTATGTCTATGACTAAAAGGTGTCAGTTGTCACTTTGTCAGTCCACATTTATGTTACAACTTTATTTATAAGTCCCAACTCCTAACCTACAAAGTGCCTTTAAATATTTGTTATTATTTTTTAGAATAACTATATAAAAATTAGTGTTGTTATATGTCCCTTTAAAATATCATGAAATCCTAGAAGGTAAAGGAGAAAAGGTCTTAAATCATACTGCAAGGCCCAATTTAGTAAATGTTTATAATTAGTTAATATTTTTTTATCGTATTTCCTCATATTATAAGACAAATACATGTTTTATTTCTTGTTACTTTATTTGAGATAAAAAATATACTTGTAAAATTACTATTTCTACGGAAATGGCCCTTCCACAAAAGAAGTATTATAGACAGCGAGCACATTCTAACCCTATAGCAGATCACTGTTTTGAATAGTAAGTATTATTGACAACATAACGAGATTCAGTGGCACTTAATACGCAATATAAAATAAATATTTAGAAACATGTAAACTCAGAGTAAATATCGTTCTAGCCCTGCACATCCTGATGAATATGATTGGTCGACTTTATATCCAATTCTAAAGACAGATCCATCAAAGAAAAATGTTGAATTCCTTGATGTTGGCTGTGGTTATGGTGGACTACTAGGTAAAAATAATTGTATTAATAGTTTTTTTTATGTTTATGGGAATATTTATGAACTTATGTTTTTTAGTAACGTTATCACCAATGTTTCCGGAAAACCTAATGCTGGGACTGGAAATTCGCGTTAAAGTATCAGATTATGTAAATGACAGAATTGTAGCATTTAGGAAACAATTTCCGGATCAATACCAAAATATTGCAGTGCTAAGGACAAATGCAATGAAATATTTACCTAATTTCTTTCACAAGGGTCAGGTACCTGGAAATATTTTTCATTACACATGATTCTTAAAGTGATTATTGATATGTACGTGATTACTTATTCTGTATTAAAATTTTAGCTAAAGAAAATGTTCTTCTTGTATCCAGATCCCCACTTTAAAAAAGCCAAGCATAAGTGGAGGATTATTAACAAATGGCTTTTATCTGAATATGCTTATGTACTTGCAGAACAAGTAAGAAGTATTTTCTGTATGTGTATGTATATTGATAGTCTTCAATAAATTATAAAAAAAATATTTTTATTTTCAGGGTATTGTTTATACAATAACAGATGTTAAAGATTTACATGATTGGATGGTAACACATTTTGAAGAACATCCATTGTTTAAACGAATTCCAGCTGATGAATTGGTTAGTGCAGACAAAAAATATAATTTCAAATTATATGTGTTTAAAATAATGATTCTCATCTTAACTTAGTTCAATATCTAATTAAAAATATGGATACTTTCTTTTGTACTACAGTTATTTATATTTTACTGTGATCTTTCAATATATTTATTGAGTTCTTAAAGATTTCCTTTTTTCTTTCAGAAAAATGATGTAATTGTAGAAAAATTGTTTGAAAGTACTGAAGAAGGACAGAAAGTAACAAGAAATAATGGAGAAAAGTTTCTTGCTGTGTTTCAAAGGGTAGCTGACAATTTTGTGGAAAATAATAAATAACTACTACAATAAACTTTTTATTTTTACATATGCACATACTTATATCTACATGAAAAACCTATAATAATAGTTAGGTAAATACAATCGGAAAATTGATTACACAAAAAAATTGTTAATACGGGGCAGAAAACATTTTCAAGCATTCATTAAATAAATATAACTTATTAAGTAGCAATTATCAATAACCATTTCTTTATTTAATTTACTTGGGTGCTGATTTTCTTATCTAACAAATTTATCCACCTTGCAAGACCTCTTGTTATATTAAGGTTTTTTCTCATATGTCCTGTAGCTGATGTTATCCATAGACGTTTTTCTTGCCACATTTTATTTGTAACGATTGATAACAATAGTGCCGCCCAAACTTCTGGTTGGTCAGGATGCGTGTGGAGTCCCTGTTTTGCTAAAAGTGAAGCTTTTTTCTTATCACCTCCGACATGTTCGGCTATGCTGGCAGTAGCAAGCATTTTAGCAGAACTGATATTATTTTCGTAATTTGACGCTAAGGATCTTTGGGCGCAACAACTGGCCAACCTTGCTTTCGTATCTGACTCCTGCAGGCAATATTGAGCTAAACAGAACCATAACTTTGTATTGTTTGGATGGTCGTGAAGAGAATCACTTAAAATTTTTATAGCTTGATTTAAGTCTTCATTTACAAAGAGGTAAGATTTGAGAAAACCTATATCAAATCCAAAATTATTATCCTTTTCATACTTCTTTAATTCACTTAAAGCTAGCTTGGATAATCCTTGATCAGAGTGTATAATACCTAAAGAACAAATGGCAAATAAGCTATATGCAGTGGGTTTCTTTTGGGAAACTTGTATACTATGGAACAATAATGTTTTTGCGTCGTCGAGGCCTTTGAACATATAAACAATTCCTGACATGGCAACAAGTAAATCGGCTTTCTCATCATCATCATTACTAAGCCAATGCAGAGCAGTATCATAAGCTGAATAGGATTCCTCATAAAGACCGTTCTTGAAAAGAGCAAGAGCTAATCCACAAGTGGAGTTGAGACTGGCTTCGGTTATGGACTTATAAGTCTTTATAGCTTCATCATATTTCATAAGTCTGATGTATATTCTACCAATATTTAAGAGGATCATATTTTTATTACATTCCTCTGCATCTTCTAAAGCTTTTTGGTAATAATTTAAAGCACTGTTAAGTAATCCGCTTCTTTCATGTAAAATGCCCAGTATATTTGAAGCACAAGAATTATCAGGCTCAAACGTCGAAAACCACCTCAGTAAATCCATGGCATACGGTATGGCAGATAGACCATCAATTACATATTTTAATTCTGTGCTATATTGGTACTTGTCGTTTTTCAATGTACGACAAACCCAATCTGCATATCCTAGTGAACTTTCTGGGTGGTATCCAAGTCGACACGCATGTCTGAACAGATCCATAGCTTCTTCTTCGCGAATAACTTCTGCTATTAATCCTTGCCCAATCCAGCTATGAGGGTGTGATGGTAAAGTGGACTGACCACGCCAGAAACAGTAGTTTGCCAATTTATAAAGTTTTAATTTTATATACAATGTGCCAAGATTACACCATATTTGTGCTATTGACCATTTTCGTGTTACTAACAAAGCTTTAATAAAGCAGTGCTGTGCAAAAACATACTTCTTCATAAAATAGCATACTTTTCCCAGTAAATTCCAATTACGCCAAGACGAAGGTTTATCTTTGATACAAGCAACAGTCAATTTAAATGCTATTTGACAATTTACTATATTTTGAGAGTCAACATAATAATCAAGATATGTAGCAGCTAAATCGTATGACGTAAGTTGCAATTTTTGTTTGGCTATTCTGGACAAACAAGCAAGAGCTTGGGGATAAATATGAGATTTATCCTTCCTTACAATGTCTTCATTTCCTTTACCAAAAGTTTCTGTTATATAAACGTAACTATATTTATTAGGCAATCTTGTAATAAATATTAATGCATCAGCCATTAAATTCCAGAAGCAGGTAAATTTTGTCTCTTTTGATAGAGCAATGATCAAATAGTTGATTGCAGTTTGTGCTGTGTCCCTTGCACTGCCATACAATTTGGCAGTATATTTCTTTCTAGCTATTCTCATCCATGTTTCAGCAATTCCCTTTAATGCTAATAGTGAAAAAGGGTCTATTTCAAAAACTCTTTTAAATGTTGAGATTGCCTCATCATATTGTCTTAAAAGAGAGTGAATGTAACCAATTCTTGTAAGGCAATGTAGGGCTTTGTTAGGATTGAGAGACATTACTTTATTATAAGCTTTTAATGCAGATGTAAATGATCCCCTCGAATAATATGCATCAGCCAGACATTCAAACGCTATAACATTTTTGTGATTATGTTTGATCACATGACGAAATTGTAAAATTGCATTCTCCCAATCTCTTTTATTTATATAATGTAAGCCGAGACGAAAAGTTATCCACTCAAATTCTGTCTGTACAGACTGACTAGATTTCAACAATAATTCAAAATCTGCATCTTTTAGTTCCAATTCTATGTAAATATCACTTAGATTTTTAATAACATCAATGTTTGTGCTGTCCAAACTATAAGCTTTTTCATAACATTTTTTCGCCTTTGCAAAATCATTCTTGTGTTTTTGATAGAACATCCCTAAATACAAAAATGTTTCTGTATGATCAGCATTCAATTTTGCAGCTTTTAAAAGGTTTATTTGAGATTTTTCATATTCTTTTAATTCCCAATATGCTTTGCCTATATAGAAGAAACTCAAAGGATCTTCAGATTTTTTCTCTAACAATGAAATGGCTTCATTGTACTTCTCTAGTTTTATTAATGCCAGGGCTTCCAGCTGTGTAAAGTAGTCAGTAGTCTCAAGATTCTTTTTCAAGTGATTATCCATTTCTTCATTATTTTCAAGGTAACATTTTGCGAGAGCCGCTTGCTCACTTAAATCCAAAGATTCAAAAGGGATTTCTCTTGACACTGAAATCGCATGCTTCCATTTTTGTTGTTCTACCAATGATAAAAACAAAAATTTCTTTAATGTGATTGCAAAATCACTATCTTTTACCTTCATCAAGAAGTTTGTAGAAAGTTTTTGGGATACAGACCATTTCTTCAACATAAAGGTACACTTAATGATAAATGTTACTTCAGTCACATCAGCTTCATTGTAATTCACAAGCGGAACACATTGTTTGTAAGCCTCCAGATATAATTGCTTGTCAAAAAGAATCATACTTTTTAAGAGTCCAGGATACTTTGAATTTTCAATTCCCAATGTTATTTCATTGAAATATTTTTCTAAATCAAAATTGAATGAGTTATTTTGAATATAATATGTACATAGGTATTTGCAGAGCCAATCGCGAAATACTACACCCGAAGTAAAATAAGGCAATTCCATAACCTCTTTCATGGCGGTTTCAAATTCATGTTTTTGTAAAATTACTTTTCCTCGCAAAATATGTAAAGAGTCACTTGGTTCTCTATCAATTATTTTGCTTATAATATTGACAACATTTGAAACATCTTCCTCTTTACATGTAACACCAGCTTTCAATATACCTAATAATTCTTTTTCAGCAACTGAATACATGTCAGTCTTTCTGTTCATATAGTTAACTAGAATGCTAATTGCTAAGTTATCTTTATGTACCCAGCCAAGTTGACCAACTTTGGAAACAATTTCTAATGCTTTCTCCTGATCTATTTCCAATTTCAGCATTTCATCATATACTGCTAGAAGTTTTTTTATAGCTGATTCATCTGCCTTTTTTTCATAATAATTCGCTAGACCTTGCCATGCTAAAGGATGATCTGGTTTACTAGATATAGCTTTTTGAAAAGCCAATGGAGCCTGATCAGATTCTGCTAATGATTTTCCCAGCAGCACCAAACCTAAATAATTGTTTTTGTCTTTTCGCAATATGTTCTTACAACATTCCTGGGCTTCTTTAAAATTTTTATCATCTATCAATTTTCTCGCTTCTTTTAAAAGTGACTTAACATCAGCCATCTGGAAACAAACATTATTTTACAAAATAAAAATATGAGCTTACAGGTACATATTGTTATTATTTATTTTCACGAGTTATAAAAATGATTTACTAATGAATTACTTATTTTTTGAATTGTTTTAATATTGTTACAAAAACACGTACTAAGAATAGCTATGCAGTGAAGAAGGTATTCAAGAACTTTTCAACTATAAATAAAATATACCTTTGTGAACGGCTATACAACTAAATAGCGAATGTTTTATGATATATACATAAATTAATATATTGTAGAAATCCAAGATAAAAAATATCAAAATATGTGATATTTTCAATTAATTGATAAATTAAATTGTTTGATATTTCAAAATTAAAAATGACACTTTACAGAAAAAGTTCCTTTGACACACATGACATATGTATATTTTAATCAGAAGACAAACAATATATGACAATATTGTTTATAATTTCTATTCATTTACTTAGCTCATAAAAAAAAATATTTTTTTTATCAACTAATAATTAAAGCTAAAGTTCCCTTTTTTTAGGGCATATATATAATATGGTAATAATGTAGTTATTTTGTATGTTTAATAGAATATTAACAGTTTTAAAATCATAGTTTAAATAAAACTATATTTTCTCTTGCTATAATTACACCTATCTTCTTTTTTTTAATTATTATCAATTATTTTCATTTTGATAAAAAAAATTGCACTTGTAGTAACAAAACCGTACTCAAGGCTGTCCTTAGTTTAACTGTCAATATTTTTAAATATGTACACAGTAGGGATTTTAAAAACAACAACACAAAATTGTCGACAATTTATTTAAATTTAACGGAAGTATATGCAATAATTGATGGATGATAAAATACAATTGTTATTATATTAAATAACAATATAATAGTCACAAAAGACAAAGTTTGATCAATGTAAAATGACATCGTCTGAAGTAACATCGTGTTACATAAAAAAATTAAGTATGTTATCTTTTAAACTTAAGCAAATAAAAGTTTATTCGCACTAGTTAACTTTATATTTTTTAAAGATCACCCCCTGAAGGAGATAAGAGAGCGAGCCTTACAAGTTTTAATAGCTAAAATGAGATTAGGATGGGAATTTGAGGATGAGTTATCTGGTACAAGAGAATTATTGGAAGCACTATTGGTCTGGTTTCAGTCTAACAAACCCTCCCTACAGAAAGAAGTATTAGAGCTATTACTTCTCACTATCAAAGTAAGTAATCAGATTTTTTAAATATTAGTTTGAAGTTACTTCTTGTCACTAAAATTTATTATTTTTAGACAAAAGCTGGAACATATATTGCTAAAGAACTTGGAATTAAGACTCTTATATCAAATCTGAATAATATAAAAAGTAAAATAGATTCTAGAGCAATGGAAATATTTGAGGATGTCTTAGAGACATTAAGATTTCTTAATACTATTGATTCCGAAGTAAATTGCATACCTTCTCTCAGATTAAACTCTAAAAGGTAAATGTTTTTTGGAAATTTGCTTAATTAACCAAAAACCTGATTTAATGGATCACATTCTACTGTTTCAGCTCTGAAAGCAATTATCAAGGCAGTGATTACTATAATGGAGGTTTAACTAAAGAATCATCTGAAGAGACTTCCATGTCAGATCTTGATAATAAATTTCCAAATAACAATATGTAAGTATTGTTTAAGTTAAAAGATTCAATTTTGTAACATTAATTCCAATCTAAATTACTGTAAAAATGGTCTATCTTAGATACTGAATTTAGAGTTTTGTATAAATTTACTTTAAAAATATAAGATTTAAGATAAAAGTTATTAAAAAGTTTTAAATATAATGTAAAAGGCCTTGTTTCCCTTTTCAAGAGGAGGTATTCTTTTTCAGTTCTAACTTAGATGGTATAAATCTGCTACTTTTTCCTTGGATTGAACTTAATCCATCAGATTTGAAAACTATGCTGCTAATTGAAGATTCTCTTAAAGTTTTGAAGTCAACCCGAAGGTGCTGCAGATTTATAAGAAATGTTTTCTTATGTGATTTTCCCCCAGAAATATTTTTAAATAGACCAGCTATTGTAAAGGTAATTGACAATTTTAGTATATACATATTTTAAATATTCATATATTATGTCTCATAAAATAAATTCCTTTATTATAGGCCTTATTAGGTATAGCCGATGGTACAATCAGTGGTAATTCTGGTGAAGCTTTAAAAGTATTATTGTGTATAACAGAGAGCCTACATATGAGATATTTAAAATTATTTTCATTGGACTTGGTATTCAAGCCTCATGAGGTAAGTCCATTGATAACAGATTGATATTTGACATAGCTTAAAACGCTTGTGAAATTTCTTAAAAAATATATGAGAGTGTTGAATATACTATATACATAATATATACTTGTGAATTAAATTGCTTATAAAAGCCTATGTTTTATACTATAATTTTACCTAATTGCCACTGACATTTATACTGCAAGTTTATTTCTTATTGTATTTCAGGTTCCACAGGACCACAGAGAGTCTGATGATAATGTAAACATTGAATTGGCCCAATTTTCTAATGGGAATTTTGATATTCATCAAAACAACACTCTGGTTGCTTTAAGACAACTGCCAGCACCTATATTTGCATTGGAGACTTTAAATACTGTTTTGTCAATAATGGCCAGAAGTGTCCTTTATGGGGATACTGAGAAGGATGTGCTATTGACGGTAATTGTTTTAATTTGCTAGTCAATATAAGAGAAAGTGAGTAGAGATTTCATTATTGCAGTTTTATGGTGCAGCATTTTTGTTTTATACTTATCATATAAATTTTTATATTTCATATCTTTTTGAAAATTATTCGTTATTTAAGGATAAAAAATTACGACTTTTTAAATAAGTTGAGATTTCCCTAGCACTAATTGTCAGGGATAAGAAATAAAAATAAAGTTAAAATGAAAATCTTATGACTTTTTCAGAGGGACCTCAACATATGTATTTCTTTAATAGAAAGTCTTATAGAATTATTGTTGGATTGTGTCACCAATAACTTCTGGTCAATGGAACACTGTTCTAAAACTCATAGAGACATTGCTCATAAATCTTCTGGAGTGATGCGGATGTTGGGTGACCTGTTATCTCAATATAGGTCTGTAAAAATCCAAATAACTTTATTAATTTTTTTTAGTATGTGAAAATTTGAAACATTTTTATGTTTACAGAAAATCTTTTCTGGAAAACACAAATCTTATACACTATAGATCTACATATCTTCGTTTAGTGCCTTGTGGAGAAATGTTGTTAAATTGGTCGAAAAAATCCGCCCTACCACCCTCGTCGTTGATAGCAGCCATCCAAGTTGCACAAATTGACCCCGCTATTGACTTGTTGTATGAGGGCCTTAGCAAAAGAATAGAATCTGTTCTACTTGTATGTACATATATTCTGCAAAATAAAAATATTAATAAATAAACAGGAAGTTACTATAAATATTGCTTTTAGGCTATCAAATCGCCAGTGGATCAGGAATTTAAAAACAAACTCAGAGAACTGAATAAATTATTCTTGAGTATGGATAATGCGGTCAAATTCATTAGAATGTCAAAATACAGCCAACCACCCAAGGAGATTTTCACATGTTTAAAAAGCGCCTTAGCTGTTTTACATTTAAATATGAATGAAAATTTTCTGAATGATGCTGCCATAGTCCTTTTGAAGAAGTCTAAACATATGGATTTACATGACAGTGATTGGGACTTGTTGAGAAATATTTCACTGTCACTAATAGCACATAGTCTACAGTGGGTCCAAGTATACTTCTATAAAATGTTATCTAAGATGGTAAAATCTATATTGTTGGATGAAAATGTCAATGAGGGAGAACACGAGAAATGCCTTATATTGGTATGCGATGTTGGTATTCTGACAGAAATATGTTGTCATGGCTTATCTTCTACTAATAAAGAGGTAAAATAAAAATTACTTTTTTATGAGATTCTCCAATAATGTGTCATGTATGTATAATAATTTAAATTTCAGGTGGAGACTTGTGCTACAGAAATAATATTATATCTTCTCAGAGGGAGGATGGTGTTAAGCGACAGTTGTTGGTGGCGTCTTCTTGCAAGCTTAATGCCGGTGTTACCTTTATTACAAGTGTATGCTGCTCATGATACAGAATTAGGTGAGATATTCATTTCATTTTCTGTCATAATCTTAATCGAATCTTTCATAATAATATGCACCAAAGTTTCTACTGTAAGTGACTAAAAATGAAATCTATCCGGTGACCATAAATTAAAGGCTAAGTTACAGTTATTCAACGTGTACAATACAGTGCCTAGTACATCAATAATAACAAGATTTTATACATTTTAAGCAACTTTTGTTAGTTTGTATGGTCAACATTGTATATATTAACTAAGAGACAAAAACTTTAATGATATCTAACATTTTCGCAAGTACATATTTATCGGGAACCAATTAACTGAAAAGTTTGGTAAAACGTAAAGTAGTATAACAAATCGTACACTACATAAAAAAATTGTATCAAATTTATTTAATAATTTACATGAATGTCGCAAACAATTACTAAACATACAAAGTAATTTTTACAATTTTTCAGGTTTAGCAATCTGCAAGTCGTTAGAAGAGGAAATAGTGTCCATGATGGGTGTGTCCAAGGCTGAGAGGTGTGCGGGCTTGGTGCGACTGATGTTTACCCGCTGCCCTTCCGTTACTATGGACGCTGCTCATCAATTGTGCCAAATAATGAGTACAGGTACTAGTAATAAAGTGTAAAATAAATCATAGTGTAGAATAGATCATTCCTTAGCTTAAAGCTAGAAAAATTCTAGAATCAATCTCACCCACGGCCATATAAAGTTATTTGGGTTACAAATTTAACTCAGTTTACACTCAACAACCACTATCAATATTTGGTTACACCAAATATAGATAAATTTTGACCCTAATGGGATGTTAACATAAAACATTATAATTTAGAAAGTGATCACAAAATTCTACTGAAATATGTAGGAATGTTGTTATATAAATTATAATAAGGTAACTAAATATTTCCTTCAAATTTAACATCTTACATAAATCTCTTATACTTAGTATATTCGCGAGTTATTGAAAATTCTGAGACTTCCAGCTAATTTGGTTTTTAAACTGAAAATGTATTCTGTAATTGTTGCAGACGACGACAAATATTTGCCACCTCGAGAGACACTGCGCCCGGATATTCTCCTCAATGCTTTAAGACGAATTGAACCACAAGATTTCAACATCGATCAAACTAGCTCACCCTCGAAAACTACACAGGTTGTTATAAACTCCCTTTATTTACACTTGCACTCTCAAATTTTCATAAAGCGATACACTAATGTTGTTATATTTACAATAAATAAACATGGACTATCGTTGTAATATTTCAGACATCGGGCCTCATTCAAATACTGGATGTTCTAAAGCAAGACCTTATTCTGGATACAGACTACGTGCCTCGGGTTCGTTCGGGTCAGCCCATATTGGAGCCCTCTTTACGCAGAAGTACCTTACAGCAACTAGCTCTCTTGATGAGGCAGCAGAGTTTACATGAAACTTTTATAGAATTTGATGGCCTAAAATTAATTGTGTCTTTACTTAGGTAAGTTTCACAATACAACAAATAAATAATACAAGAGTTACAAGCACAAAGAACCAGCCTTGAAACTTAGATATGGACTTGTCTAATGTTTAATTAAATTAATCAACCAATTAGAAAATAAATTTCCAAACTAAAAATAATAAATAGAATTGGGTAAAGGAAAAATATGTAAAAATATTTTAAAGTTGAATTGACAATTTTTTACACGTATTTATCGTCGAGCCCGATAAAGAAAATAAACTTCATGAATTAGTTGTCCCCTTTTATAATTTTTTTTAAGAGTGTGGATATAATAAGGACTATATTAAAAAACGCGTATAAGTCTCAAAAGTAATATTTAAACAAAAATATGGCATGTCATATCATTGTTTTCTATATGTTTTCTCAGGTTATCGTTGATGGTGGATGATTACCTCTTATTCCCCGAGTGTGCTATCAGCTGTGTGTCAGTACTAAACAGCGTGTGTTTTATGAGCAGACATGCTCTGGCCAAGATGGCGGATCTACCACTACTGCTGTTACGAGGTATATTTTTATGGTTGAAATCCTATTGTTGTAAGCAAAATACTAAGAAAATGTGCTAGTAATTAGTAAATAATTTCTGTGGAAATATGAAATTCCATTTTACGTAACAAATCTCTATCAGTTGCGAAAGTGCTTAAAGTTCTGGTACACTATTGTCTTGGAAAGTTTAGAATATTCTACAAAGTAATAAAACATTAGTATGGCATGTAATAAGAGAGTAGATTTGAATTATTGTTTATTTGTTGATTAAAAGAATGTATTTTTACCAAATAAAACAGACCAAATTCAGTATAATCTAGTGTCTAAAAGTATTTTATCATTAATATTATTTTTCTAGTAATCCTGGTGTTTCCCGCCAACGAGAACAGTGTTTTGATGTCGGCGCAGGTACTGGCGCTCGTTGCTTGGGCGGGATTCGCTCTTCAAGAACTAGATGCGAATAGAAATAGAATACCATCACTTCCATACAACGTGACCGAAAGGATTAACTCGCCATTTATTGTGAATAACTATTGGAAGACAAGCCCGAATACTGATCATTCGTCTGTTGGTATGTATGTTCGTTTGAAATTTTGTTAGATAGAGCTTGGACGGTGGAGGTGAGCTTTTAAAGCGCATTAGATAGTGGCCCTTAAACCTACACCTGGGTCCTAAGTCCCAGGTACTGTTGAATCTCCTCTCCCTGCAATGCGATGGACCAGGCACCCGCTCGGTGAATCCATTGAACGCTGAGAATTTGTGTCTTAAATAATTTAAGTACAATTATGACCAGTTTTATTAGAACTATCGTTTTTTCAGAATGGCTTCTAAGTGATGAATCTTTTCGGAGCGCTGTCAGTGTTAGGTGGTGGTGGATTTGTGGTGGTAACAAGTTGAAGACGGCTTCTTTTCCCCCCCTCCCGTCGATCTCCAGCCCCTCCCCAAGCTCCCGAGATCTCGCAGCCCTCACATCTGCCAGTTTACAAAACGTCTTGTCAAAGTTACTCCTTCAGTTAGAAAATGCTACCAGTCACGACCAAGTCCATGAGGTTTTGGTTCTATTGGAAAGGTGAGAAACATCATAACGTTTAAAAATAAATAAACTTGCGTTATTAGTTCGTGATTTGGGACGTAATTCCGTCGTATGATTATAATGGTAATACATATAAACACGTTATATTCTATGTAATACTACGCACTAAGTCACATTCTGAATACCATAACGTAAATTCTTATTTATTTTTTGTTTTATTTGTATGTACGGCATTGAGTTAATTTTATTAATCATTATACAGCTACATAAACTTGGTACCTCTGGCTGGTGTCATTAAGCTAGGTGACTTGCCGTGGCTTCGCACGCGTCGTTTCCTAAGCGCCCCGCCCGCCTCGTCCGGGGATGTAACTTTATTAATGGAGTTACTGCAATTCGTCATCACCTATATGGACAATGTCCCTAACGAAGGTATTTTCGTTTAGTTTCCTTACAATAAGTTTGCGTGGTAAAACTAAATTCAGTTTCCACTTTATCATGACTTAAATTTTGATGATCAATAGTATCATTAAAGGCTTAGGCATGAAAAATTGGCAATGATACATCCAGAATTATAGTAGGGATATATTCCTTATCAATTAAGTAGTGGCACTACAACGCTATCTGTTAAATGATTTTTTATTATTTTTAACATACAACATAATAGTAATTTTATTCAACAGATGACGCCAAGTCATGGATTAAATCTTCATTTATCGGTGATGACGCGGTCATCATATCACTGCTGAGTAAAGACCGTCTCTACCCTCAACAGACAACACAGGAGGATATAGAAGTGACTCAGTTAAGAATCTATATAGTGAAAGTATTGGTTAGATGTGTTATAATGTTGGAGGGACGAGAAGATTACAGCTGCGGTAGAATGGAAAGTCTATTGAAGATTCTGTTGTCTTGTTTGGAGAGAATTGATCTCAAGGATTTTCATATGTTAGGTAAGTATAGATAACAGAACATGAACCAAATTTAAGTTAAGAATTGTAGGTGCATCAGAATTGGTACATTTGAAACATATGTTTAAAAGATATAAAGTAATGTAAGTATACATTAATTTATTTGTAAGAAACAAAATTCTTGTAGGTTTTTAGAATTTTATAAATTCATATTTTATTTTACACTTTATAAATATAATTACATCGTATCTTAATAGTTACGACTTACGATACCCCTTTATAATATTTTTAAACTCACAATTTTTGTTTCGTACTGAGTCCAATTACGAAGCCTATATTGGCAAAGTTAGTAAAAATTAAGCATAAAATTTTTCGAAGTGTTTAAAGGGACCGCAACTTTTACAATTTTAAGTGTAAAATAAAAGTGTTAGCAACATAACTAATAACAATCTAAATGAAACTAAAAATCTTAGATCTCATTAAATAACAATCTAATTAATTATCAAGGATTTTTCTAACGTGGTGAAATGAAAAACATCTAAACGTGCAATTTGAGTTTGCATTTAAAAAGTAAGAAGTATTCTGAACTAATTTTGAAAGAGCTTTAAATAATGCGTGAGTTATCAACAGATTTAAAAAAAACCAGACAATGTGTGCATAGATGGTTGTCCAAAAAATGTAATGTAAAGTATTAGTTACGATTAACCGAAATTATTTAGATAATTTTACGCTATGATATTCGTAACGTTACTGTCATGACATGGCCTTCAAACTATAATACATTTTTTATTGTTACATACATAAAAATATGTTTTTGAGGTACTCGAGTGTAACGGATTATTTATTCACTTAAAATCACAAAAGTGAATTCATTATAATGGGAGAATTAAACCTATTAATAGTACACAAAAAAATTATAATGAATTCTTTTTTAATGTAAGGATTTAAATATACGTATAAATCATTAAAACTGAGGTCAGTAATTTCTGTGTATCACAATCATATAGAAAGCGATTTAAATAGAGTTTAAACAGTAGTGTTTGTTAAAAAAAAGCACATTTATTTATATTCTCGTATAGAAAAACATACACATTTATTGTGTTCGGGGTTTTAAAACGGTTTTTTTTTTAAATTTCGTACCATATATATTAACAACCAACAAATGTTTCATATTAAAAATGAGAGGAGTAATTTTGAAATTATTGCAGTCCGAGTTCAGCACATGTTTTATTAATCAACATTTTGTTATGCACATGTGAATCGAATAATAAACATGTGATTATGTTTTCAAAGGAACTTGTATTGCATTCTTATAGAAATATATGTAAGTACATACTACTTTTGTTGTTCAATGTTCATTAAAATTTACATTATTAATTCGTTAAGTCGTAATGAACATAAAATATCTTAGTTTTCAAAATCCTTATTAATGGTCTAAGATCCCGATATAAGGCGACCTTCACCGAGATGTTTATTTGATGAAACATATTTTATATTCAATTTAATATGTCAATAACTATATTACATATGGGTTGCCTCATCAATTTTAGTCCAGGATATGATTAATTAACAATTAAAAATAGATTTTTTTTTCAAATATTTCACCGGTTTGTTTATTAGATAAATTCCACACCAATCGAAAGTACGGAGCCCATAGAATATGAAAACGTTAGGTTGCCTATTCTTTTCCAGTCACAACTCTCGGGTTGCCAGGGATAAACAGGTACATCGATAGTAGCATTTTGCACCGGTCTGATAATTTAATCAAATTTAAATGAAAATAAAGATTATTTAATTATGAACACAGTGAAATAGGGTTGCCTGCGAAAAATCGGTCCTAAATTAGGGTTGTCGAATTTTAAAAAGTAAAATATTGCCGCGAGTGAATATGTACGACCGAGAGGTCCCAAGCAACTGTTCCGTGCGTTAGAAGAGGACAGAGCATAACAGCTGCGTAAGGTCTTCCCATTTAAAGAGAGTGTGTATGCTATTTGTCAGTGCAACTGACAAGGATAGCGATAGACGTGTATATGCTGTGTATCATTTTGGAGTAATGTATTATTATTATATTAAAAATAGAAGAATAGTTCTTTAATATTATTTTAATTAATTATTTATGTGTATATATTTAATGTGACATTAAAGTATATATATATACATATATAGTAAATAAGAAGGTTATAACAATACATATGTAATACTAATTTAGAGTAATTTTTTTTATTCGAAAAAAAATGAAAAACATGAAAATTCTTTAAATGGGAAGACCTTACGCAGCTGTTATGCTCTGTCCTCTTCTAACGCACGGAACAGTTGCTTGGGACCTCTCAGTCGTACATATTCACTCGCGGCAATATTTTACTTTTTAAAATTCGACAACCCTAATTTAGGACCGATTTTTCGCAGGCAACCCTATTTCACCTCGTTCATAATTAAATAATCTTTATTTTCATTTAAATTTGATTAAATTATCAGACCGGTGCAAAATGCTACTATCGATGTACCTGTTTATCCTTGGCAACCCGAGAGTTGTGACTGGAAAATAATAGGCAACCTAACGTTTTCATATTCTATGGGCTCCGTACTTTCGATTGGTGTGGAATTTATCTAATAAACAAACCGATGAAATATTTGAAAAAAAATCTATTTTTAAATGTTAATTAATCATATCCTGGACTAAAATTGATGAGGCAACCCATATGTAATATAGTTATTGACATATTAAATTGAATATAAAATATGTTTCATCAAATAAACATCTCGGTGAAGGTCGCTTATATCGGGATCCTCTACTATAATCCTTAACTATGATTACTATGACAGATTTCAAAATACATATAAAACTTTTTCATTTTCAGTAATTCATTCACTGCACATCTAACATTGATATATTAAAATGAAAAATCAAGGTTTTAAGTTTTGTTGTGTAAATTGTTACATAAATTAGTGCTTCTTATAATGAAGCTAGCTTTTACCCGCGACTCCGTTCGCGTTAACATCAGCATTGTTGTCTGCCATTACAGCTTTTGAAGTTGCGCTGCACTTCACGGTTCCACCCGTGTAGTTTTGTGATCGGGATTCGGGATCGGGATAAAAGGGTTCCATGTATCTACATATATAGCATTCATCAAAATCGGTTCAGCGGTTAGGTCGTGAAAATGTAATCGACAGACAGACAGACAGTTACTTTCGCGTTTATAATATTAGTAGATATTCTACTATACCTTTTTTTTACAAAAAAAAGGTATAGTAGAATATCTACTACAAATACTACCGTTTTAATTACATATCCTCTATTATAAAGTCGGTTTTAAACTAAAATCAACTAAGTTTTTAGGAATTTCTATCAATGCCTCAAAAACTATCGGACCTGAGTAACTTAAATCAATTTCCAGGATACCTCAACGAGTTAATGCGTTGTGTGAGATACGTGTCTTATTCCAAGTACTGCAAATTATCTGAGGACAGTGTCATGATGTGTCTGAGGGTTGTCACTGGAGTCCTGGGAGGCTGTGCGTCAGGGGGAGGGAGGAAGGGTCAGGCTTGTAGGTTGGACGCACTTCTCACATTAATGGCCCTATCGACACAGATACGGGATAAATCTATACCTGTGCAGGTATGTAATATATATCTATACTTTTTTTTATAGAAAATTGTAACTGCATTTATTGATATGATTTAAATTAAAGCCACTTATCACAAGTTATTAAAAAAGACAATCGAAAAGGATATTGACTAATTCTTTAAGATAAAATCGAAATTATAATTGAAGAAAAAATTCTAAAATTGGATTATTTCATCGACTTTATATGTCTGTATGGCGTTTGTAGGTTGTTTACGTAATCCATTTTGTTTCATTCAAGGAAATGTTCGAGTTAAAACTTGAAATTATATTTGGTATCTTGTTTAATCAGATACATGTTTACAAAAATGTTGATCACAACTGTATTATAAATAACAATACAAGGAATGGAAAGTAGGAATATTTTATATATATATATTTCAAGACAGTTTACTCATTTTTAAAATAATTCATTTGTTCGTTAGTTCCTTACGTTACTTTAAATTGGGCTTCTTAGGTTAGTTCAATGATTTTGTTTTGGTGAATCTTTATTTATATATCAAATACATAGAATTTCACACTTTAGTTTTGTATAACTTTGATGTTTACTTTGATAATAACGTAGAAAGAACACTTGTACAATGATAAGATAATGAATTGATTTTTGTTAGATAAAACAGTTTAAACGGACATCGTACACTATTGTTCTAACAATTGAATAATGTATCAAAAATAGCGAGAATTTCGTGACGTCATTATTGTGACGTCATTTTTGAGTATTCGTTTCTTTTCATCTTTGTAACACGAAGAAGTCCTTTCTATGATTGTTTTATTCTCATATTAATAATGATTAATTTCCTCAGAAATATTCTACTTTATACGATTATATTTTTTAGTATTCCCTACCTTTTAATAATAATGAATTATCAAGCAAAGTCAGGTTATAATGATATATTGTTATAGATTTTATCAAATTATTTCTTTTTAATGATAGTCTTTTACGATCTTCATCAAAAGGCAACAGACTATCAAATAAGAAGGGCTATTCATCATTATCTGTTGAATTGATTAATGAAAACTATTTTTAGTTATTGATATAAATACTTATCTATCATTTATTACACGACGTACCTCAATATTGAAATATAATGATTCGAACATAGTATTATAATAAAATGTGTAAAAAGTACGAGAAATATTCAATAATGAATTAAAAAATATTAATAATGAATAATTATCAGTAATCATTGACAAAATATCTAGAATAGTAAATTGTATCTAAGGGTCACCTAGGAGTATAAATTTATTTTATTTTAAGTATCCCGTTTCTATTATGCGTACCGTTTCCCGTTTCTCATTCAATAACCTACGTTAATACTATAGGCCATAGGGGATTGTATGAATGATAAACTGTTAACGCTTCGTAGTGACGGTGCATACTTAGACTAAGGATACTGAATGTACTACAATTTCGACAGAGATGGTGCGAGTACTACAATAGCGGAGTGATAACGGCGCTGGTGAAGTGTGTGTCAGCTGATCGTGTTGAGGTGCGAGCGAGTGCGATACACCTGTTGGCGTCCCTGTCGCACTATACACAGCTGGTGCCTCAGCTATTACAGGGTATGATATATGTATAATGGGGATATATTATTATGATAGTTATGAAAAATATTGTATCAAAGAAGTTGTATAGACGGTGGTGGTTCTGGAAAGCATCGTAGCAAGGAATCCGTATAGACGATGATAGTTCTGAAAAGTATTTTAGCAATGCATGTGATTGTAGTTTGTCATTTTTCGAATAACCTATTGAGTATTACAGTTCATTTTATTGACAATTGAACAATTAATTGGCAATTGAACAATTAATTAACAATTAACAATTGAAATTATGAGAGAAAAGTATCCTAAAACAGCTGATTAAGTTTTTTCTATAGGTATTCCAAATCAGTCGTTGGCTGATTTAGCGATCGAGGTTTTCAATGTAGAGGGTGAGGCGAACGTGGTTCGAGCGGCCGCAGCTACACTACTGACGGCTGTTAGCGCTAGAACATCGAGTCACTCACAGGTGAGGATATAGTCGCGTTCAGGACAGTTGTTATATGATGAATTAATAGAAACTACCTCCTAGCTCTTTCTCATATATTTTATATAGCTTATTTCTCATATATTTTATAGTTACACTAGGTACCAAGAACCAAATTAAAGGTAACTTTCGTCGAAACGTCGGTTAAAACGTAGTATAAAAATATGAAAAATAAATCCAGAAAACATATCTTCATTTGAATGTATAAAGTGTACTCGGAAAAGTCTTACATATTTTTTATTCATGATCAAGTTATTTAGTTCGATTATTATTGTCTTACCACAAGTTTATTACTCACACTACATAGTACATACGTCAACAGTTTTTCATTCATAAATCATTCCATATTATAGTACTAGAACACCCGGCGAACTTCGTATCGCCCTATAATAATCAAGAAATATTTGTTACGTTTTTTTAATAAATAAATTAAGTATATACCTTAGCCTCAGAAACACGTGGTGGTTATGCTATAATTAAATAGTCGCTCATATATGACGTTTGTATTTTTAACATAGCCCCATCAATAGATGGGGCCATCAATTAATAATAAAAAATATATAAATTCAATAGAATACTTAACTCAGTCAACAGATAATTGTAATAATGACAAATAATTTTCTTTAATTGACAAATAATTTTCAATAAAATAATATTGTGAGTATAAATTGAGATGTAAGCTATCCTATCTTTCAAGTGGTATCAAAATGCACACGGAATGCAAATCAAATTAAAAATCGGTTTAGTAGTTTAGGAGTCGATCGCGGACAAACACGTGATACGAAATTTTTATATATATAAAGATAAACATAGTTTGTTCAAAGAGAAAAAGAAAACGTTTCGTTTGCAACACAATGATGTCACAATTTGCTAAGCATTTTGATAACTATTTTTATATCATCAAAACGAATATGAAATTCTCTGATAACATATACGTGACTGGATTCAATAGCTTCTCTATTAATAGCATGCAATTGTCGCCTTTTATTGTCTTACTTATTTTGTGTTTCAATAAAGATGTATATATGAATTACAATCACAACCGCAATCGTACGCCGCTTAATGGGACCACCAGCGACGATCGAATTAAATCGAGCCAAGGTTGGCAATCAGATATTAGAAATTTGCGTACATAATAATAATAATAAAAATTAAATAATTCGATCATATAGCGATCACGTGCTTGTTAGCCCGAAATAAAATACTATTTTAGAGGGAAATGCTAGTATAAATTAGTTTTATTTCGCCTGAAAATTGATACGGTGATGTATATTTTAATTGTGTTTTCCCGCAACCTTGTTTAAATGATATTTGGTTTTATTTAGAAAAAGTAATGTAAAAAGTGCAATAAAATATACTAACCAATATTGCCAGAAATACTTATGATAACTGTTACGAAACTTTATGCAATGATTCCAACGGAACTACCCGAAAATCTGGGTTAATTTATAGCCCATGTCTTATTCCAATGTCCAAGATAGGTAACTGTAAAGTTTGATCAAAATCCGTTTAGTATTTTATGACCGGACGAGTAACAAACCTACTCATAACTATCCAACATATTCAGTATTAACTTTAGTGAGATTATATGTATTTGTTAATACATTAAAATTGTTACTGTCTTATTGTCGCACGTAATTCAATGTATGATGAATAATAAAAATACAAAACATAGCTTGACATCAGAATAGATTCAAACATGAAAATAGTTTTAATATGTATTTTATAAATATTACTATTGTTCATTGTTCGTGCATTGACGCGGGGGATATTTATAGAGAATCTCGATATATTATTTCTGTATATGTACTCTTTGGTTAAATAAATGAGTCGCCATATACAGGAACGTAAAAAAATATAATTAGGTATGTACTTAAATATAAAAAACAATAAACAGTATTCTGAAATAATTATAGAAATGAATTAACTTATTAGTTATTACATATTTAACTGATTTGCATATTAATTCAAAGAGGTTTTTGAGGCTATCTTTATGTGGCGTCTTAATGATTACATCAAATAAAGACAGTCGTTCATTGAGTGCAGAAGTTGGTAATAAATTCACTAGGTATATGATTGATATTTTGGTTACAAAAAAAAAAAAACAATGAATTAAATATCTACCAAAACTACTTAACAAATATAATACATTTGTATTTAGTATGTTATATCTATATATATTAAAATGAATTGCTGTTCGTTAGTCTCACTAAAACTCGAGAACGGCTGAACGGATTTATCTTAGTCTTGAAATGTTCGTGGAGGTTCAGGGAAGGTTTAGAAGCTGAAAAACATTAATTCATTTCCGGGAAAACCCTACAGACAGCCCTTTTCTATTTGCCATACACACGGTTCCTTTGACATTAGATTTGACAACTAACTAATATGTCAATCATTCTGTCGCACTTCAGAACACGGAGATTTATGGCTTAAAGGTAAACTCCAAAAATATAAATAAAAAGTTATTTATCTATCGATTGAGGCAGTATGAAGTCTGCCGTGTCAGCTTGTAAAATAATAAATATATTTTAATTTAGAATTTCGAATAATCCGCAACGTACATATAAAATTTGAATTTCGAATAAATACGTCCAATGTCGATATCTTTTTATAGTATTGTTTATTGGACAATTCCAAGCTATATATGTAAAAATGTTTGCGGAATAACATGTTGCAATATTTATAGAGTAGTAACTTGCGTTCACGCTTATTTAGTAGAGGGAAAAATAAATGTGCACTAATTATTCCTCTCGTGTTTTAGAATGCTACTTAAGCTGAACAATTGAACTCAAATACGTAAATGGCAAATACAAAAGGGCAATATCGATTTATTCCGCAATCGTTATATTTACAATTTGCTTTGAAACAATGTGTCGTAGTGATTTATAATATAATTCACTTTACAGTACATGACGTTTCGCGCGACTTAAATGTGTTTCATTTAAATTATATATTACAACTTTATAAATATTACTTAAGAAAGTAAAAAAAATCTGCCATTTTTAGCTGATTTTATTGTGAGAAAACAAGTTTTTATTATTATCGCATACAAGGAACCTCCAAAACCAAAATTACGTAACTAAACGAAATAAAATATGATTGACATATGTATTATATCTAAAACTTTTTTTTTGGTTAAAAATATTATAAACGTGTTCTCTTATTTATTAAATAAAAACTAGTTAGTTAATAAAAGACCTTAAAGAAATAAAAAAAAAACACTGGCAAGAAATGAAATGAGAATTCGAATGTGTATTTTTAAAAATCGAACGCCTTTTACTTACAGCTGCTTTCATAAAGCATACACACAACATAAACAATGGTGAATGTGTTAACACAAGCCTAAATCTCCGGTCATAGTGAAGCATGTTCTTGTGCAAAATAGCCTGTGTGTTGATACCTTTAAGGTATTAAATGACGCGCTCGGAAACGCTCGTGTGGAATGCGTAATTAATATCTATATATATTGTTTCATTTTGGAATACAATTGAAGTTCTTAGACCTCCTATATTTAAACTCTGATTCATTAGTTGAAAAAAGGATTGTTTTTGTTCGACATTTCAGTGGCATAAATTTTATGCTTATTATACTAAATAAGATTATAATTTACGTGATAAGACTTATAATAATAATAAAATGAAATATATGATATATACACCGACACTATTTTGTTTTACTTCATTTAATATTTCTCTCAACTAAATTTTTATTTTGTTTTTTTTCAATCAAAATTCTACTTAAGTACTTAGTTTGGGATATCAACTAAACATCTTTTATAACATTTCTTCATAAATCATTGTTTAATTTGTTTTCAATAATTTTCAATCAACATAAATTATCGGCGTTCAATTCATGGCATAATAAATGTCATTAGAAGTAATGTGAAAAACGCCCTTAGCTCGTCCATGCGGGTACATGCAAGTCACGGACATAGCACGTCAACATATGTGACCTTGGGGCTACGCATAGAGCTTATCTTGACGCTCCGTAGTCCGCACTCGCCGCCCGGCGCTCCACAGCCGAGTGCCGACGCTCATTCGACGGCCGCTCGCCGAAGCGACGGTTCACTACCAAATGATTTTAATCTGCCGCGTATTTGTTTACTACACCGGTCGCGATAACAGACTGTTTTGTGTGTAAATTTTAAATTAAAAACCGTACTATTCATGAATTTTTTCAATTAAAATTCCTGTATATAATCAGTGAGAATGAGTATCAGTGTTTTGCTTGTAGTGATCTTGTTGGTTTTGTTAGTTTTGTTAGCCGTTTTTCACTATGGATCTGAGGGCCGTAAATATTGGTATAATAAAAAGGTTCCATATAGGGAGCCGTGTCCTATATTCGGGAATTTCGGAGCTACACTAACAATGCGCCTCAGTTATACAAAAATGCTTCAATTCTTCTACGACAAATACAGAGATGAGAAATATGTTGGAATTTTTCAAGCTAGGCGACCGGCTTTGATGCTGATAGATTTAGAATTGATAAAATATGTGCTGTCCAAAGATTTCCAACATTTCAGTGATCGAATATCTGTCTCAACGGATACGCAACGGGAACCGCTTTTGAGGAATCTAGCAAATATGAGCGGCACGGAGTGGCAGAAAATGAGGCACATAGTTACACCGACATTCTCCTCGGCTAAAATGAAAGCCATGTTCCCTTTAATAGTCGATTGTGCAAGAACATTACAAACGACTCTAGAAAACGAGTCCATTGAAGATATCGAGGTGCCGAAGTTAATGTGCCGGTTTACAACTGACGTTTTAGGAAGTTGCGCCTTCGGCGTCGATCCTGGGTCATTAAAAGATAAAATGTCACCATTTTTTATTATGTCGCAGAAAATGTTCAAAACCGATCGCAGCACCATATTAAAGAGATATTGTCGTTCCTTTTCGCCGCGACTCTTCAAATTTTTGAACCTCAGAACGTATTCGCTGGACGTGGAAGTATTTTTTACTAATATCATCAATCAAGTATTAAACGAGCGGCGAACGACCGGCAAACAGCGAAGTGATTTCCTACAGCTTATGTTGAATGTCCAAAAAACTGAGATCGGTTTTACGATGACGGATGAATTAATTATATCAAATTCATTTATATTCATGCTCGCCGGTCTAGAAACATCGGCTACAACGCTGTCGTTCTGTTTGTATCAGCTCGCCAAAGATATAGATCTACAGAACAGATTAAGAGATGAAGTTAGAGAGTGTATAGAAAATCACGGTGGATTTAATTACGACGCGATATGTGCGATGCGTTTAGCGACTCAGACGTATTTGGAGACGCTGAGATTACATCCTCCAACACCTCTTACCACGAGGCTGTGTACATCACCGTGTACATTACCCGGTACAGATCTCAATATGAAGGTCAGAGACGCGGTCCTAGTGCCCATACATCAAATACACAAAGATCCAAGGCATTTTCCCGATCCAGAGAAATTTGATCCTGAACGTTTCGATGGTTCCGTGAATGTTAACGGTTTCATTGCATTCGGTGACGGACCCAGGAGTTGTCCAGGTAAGATATCCTCCATGTTTATAAACCAATCACAAATATCAAACGAAACGTATCTTCTAAGATGTTTTCAAAACAATAGCGTGGAAGAGGAATGAATAAAAGTTAACATCTCACGAATTTAATGTTATATAAACATTACTTTGTTGTGTGTGTTTAAATAACAATACATATAAATATTATTAAATTTGAATCTCGAGTTATAACTATTAATATAACTTGACTCAACTAAATATATGCTTCTTTCGTGATATAACTAAAATGGTTATTCTTAGTTTTCGTCTTTTATTCTAACGGTATTCATGACGTTAACAGTTAGATGGATCTCAATAAGTTACTGGCCTAATTTGGAATTTCATCATCATTCTTGTCACGCAATGCGTACATTATATATGACAAACATTTCTTCTAATTGTTATCACAAAAATAATATTACCTAAACCTTTCATATTTACGTCAGAACATGTTAATTGTTAATATTGATTTAAAATAATTACTTTTTAGTTTCGTTTTTCGCTAAACTAAGTGACTATTTAAAGTTTTATACATAGAAGTGTCAATAATTTTTGCAGGAGGTCGTTTCGCACAGATGATGGTGGTAGCTGGTTTGGCTACGATTCTTCAGAATTTCTCAGTGGAGCCATGCTCTAAAACAACACCGACTATACAATACGAAACACGAAGCGTCATGTTAAAAAATAAAGGCAGCATTTGGTTGAAATTTAACAAGCTATAGATATTTCTTATCATTTATTTGTCACAGTATTTTTAAGAAATATTCCTTATTACAATGTTTATAATAAAATACACGAAAACTATTTATATAATATACGATACCGTATCGGAGTAACTACATTTTTGATAGTACCGACTCTCGTAAGTCGTAAAATGTATCTCGGTAGTCATTCGACGATTTATCATATCGGAACAAGTCAATAACAATATGCTTACCAAAAGTTTGCATAGTTAAATAAAATACTGATTGTTCCAAGTTGTTCATTCATAAATCTTCGAAATCGCGGTATAGTGAATTATATTGATTGAGAAACGAGAAACGTTTCGTAAATAGTGTGAGAAAGTAACTTTATGGTCGACATAAATATAAAATCGATCGTAAATTTTTTTAGGTATTTTTTAATCAATGACTATTTAAAATGCCTTTTATATACCAAAAAAAAACTAAACCAAAATTAAACTTTATATAACAATAAAAATAGGAATTGGTCTCTTCTTTAACCCCAATTATAATTCTATACAAATTCCTTAACTGACTTACAGGAAATGAGTTTTTTGCTATCAGTTTTTTTTTGTAAGCACTTTTAATTTAATATAATATAAACACGATTACATTAGACGTCTATACTATAGATTTTGGACAGGTGATATAATATTTTAACCCAGAATTATAAATATGCACTTGATTTTTTATTTCCAAAACCACACTGTATCCTTACCACGCGTACACACCGTCACTCTACATGCGAATCGTTTCTGGTTTTTCATTAATAATTCTGTGCGTATGATGGTATTAACGTAAAATTAACGGAAAACTGTTAACTATCCGTATGTAGTGTGACGATATTCACTTATCGTAAGGTCACACACAGCTGGAAGTGAATTTTTCCACCCCCAAGATAACACTATCAACACATCACATACTTGTTATCGGACACAAAAATAATGATTCATAATCTCGTATATTGAATACGGAACATAAAATTTAAATGTAATTCTTAATGAAAATGTATTATTAAATGAAACACTGTTTATATAATCAGGGACTGATTGTAAATTTAAATTACTGTTTATTTTGTGTATGTAGTTAATAAGCGTACGACTGTTAATGTTTTATATGTATTTATACATATGTTCCTTCGTTATTGTATTTAGATTGATGTATTACAAGGCATTGCATTGTGGGCATAAAAAACATTAAAGATTTTGAAGTTCTTTATTTACCTTATTTAAAAGATTCCAACGAATCCTACTTCATAAATCAGTATGTTTTAGTTTAGGATATATTGAGATCATGATCAAAATAATATACTAACATATAGTATAAATTATAATGTAAATTATTAGGCGAAAAGTATATTCCTATATATGTAGTATTATATCCCTATGACCTATTATATTCCATTCAAATCTTTATTCATCAACTTTGTCAAACTCAAAGGACTTCTAAGAAAAAAGAGATTCCCATGTATTTAATGTTATATCTTCATGTGATTGTCACAGTTATGCTCGTATCACAAACACAGATCTAAACATGACTTTTCTCGAAATCGTTTAACCCGTTGGATGAGCGAATATTTGAACAAGCTCACACACAAACATCCATTCTTTTCGACAAAAATTTAAACAAGATTTAAAATGTGTAAAATCACACAATTAAAATAAATAAAAAGATCTTTATGCTAAATAAATATTTGTAGGTACTCAAGATAAACGAAGAGTAAATCCTTTGTGTCTTTGTATCATTTAGCATAAGAAACAAGATTAGTAAATTTGCAGATACTTAGCGTTAATTTTCGTTAAAGGTATTGCTACGCCTGCACCATGTATTAATAATAACAGTATAATTAAGCTGTGAACCAAGAAAAATAGTAAGAATATATATGTCTTAGTTTCTCTTACAAAGCCTTTTTACTTAATCTATTAATAAAGTACATGTGTATACATATGTATATTTAATGAATATATTTTATTTGTAATTTTTGTTTTTGTTGAGAAGCAAATTGATAGAAGTGACATTTATATAAAAGACTTAAGAAGTCGATGTACATATATTTATCAGCAATTACTTTATGATTTTTACTATATAATTTTCTTAAAATCATAGCAATTTAGTTGCTAGTAAAGTTGCGACAAATGTGACATTTGTAATATTTGCAATCAAGATCGGTTTTCACGGTATGCGAGTGAATTGCAAATATAAGTGGGACATGAGGAAAATGTTGAATGATAATAAAGAAAACTAATATTTATTATTTATGGTTTTCAACATAAAAGTTATTAAAATGGCACATTGTCCATTGTTCACAATTATAGTATGTATTTTATTTTCTTTATATTCAAGGTTACGGAACTCGAGGTACTCCAAGCTATCAACGAAGGAGACTTCATAGATGAGTGTCTGAATATATTCGTAGAGTTCTCCAACAATAAGCACTACGAACACAATATAGGTTTGTATGGAATATGACATGTTTTCAATACTTACTATCAGTTTTCAGACATAATAAATACATACCAATTGAATTCTATTGATGTAGATTTATGAATGACTAAAACTATCTTCTGACACTTGAATTCAGATGAAAACACTAACTAAAGATCACATATTGTTTATTCATGTCCATAATTCAAGTTAATCTAATCACTTATGAATCGTAAAGTATATTTTACTAGCGGATATTGTATGTATATGTTATTATAACAAGTCTTTTAAATTTTCAGAACCGAATATCCCACTATCTGTCCTAGACCGTGGTTCAGAGCTAGAAGTTCGTGCACAGAAGAGCGAGTTCCATTTGTCCCCAACATTATCGTACACACGGCCGCCGCCGACAGCCAGCCTGGTAGCGGCAGTTGCTGACGTCATCAATAACATCACATTATACAAGAGAGCTCCTGTACAGCTTTGGAATGAAAAGGGATTGTACAGAGTTTTATTTAGGTTGGTTGTGTATGAATTTGATTAAATTTTTACTCTCTAATTTGAAATATGCTCTCAAAATGTTATCAATAATATTTTTGTTTAATATTTCAATTAAAAATATGTATTTATTATAACGATTTTATTCATTTGTAATTAATATTTTATTGTAATCGTTTTTATAGTGTTTCATTAACTTTGCTTATTTTGATTTAATTAATTCTTTCCTTTAAGTCATGGTTGTGATATAATAATAATTTCTTTTTACCAGGTGTATATCCCAGCCTAACGTCTCACATTGCTCTTTCGTACACACGGCCGTCTGTCGAGCTCTCGCCGCGTCCTCTACACATAAATGCGTGAGGGTTGCGCTCGCCAATACAAAGGACTGTGTGTATCACTTGCTACTAACACTCACTCCTATTGAGTCAGGTAAATTATTATTTTTTATGTTTCCTGTTCACTTGTTGATATCACACTTAATCTAATCATATGATATAATTTCAAATACATTATGTCATAGATCACATCGCGGTCAATTAAATGATATAATATATTAATATAATTAAATTGTTTGTTTCAGTATGTGATGCAGAAGACTTAGCTGCTCGTACTCAAGCCATGCTCTTGTTGGCGTCTTTACTGTCTGAGCAATCGAGTTTCGAAGCTGTATGCGAATTTAAAGACAAATCTACACTATTTGTTTTATTTTTACAAGCATTGGAGAGCGATAATAGCGGTAGCTAACTTTTTTAATTATAGCTAATATTTTTGTATTATTATTGGATGTTAACAGTACATATCATATTACAGGATGGCAAGAAGCTGCAATACATTGTGTGAATCGTCTCTCACGTTCTATAGTAGGACTTAATAAGAGAGATCAAAAAAGCATTACATTCTTAGATGAATTAAAATCACCATATCAAGATGGTAGGGATGTTCGTTGTGCTGGAGACAGTGGCTATTGTCAGCCTGACCACATGGTTGAAGAGATCTGTAAAGTACTAGTTGATATGTTCAGGAAACGAATTGAAGATAAGAAATATTTACTCGGACAAGGTAAAGGATATTCAGGTGTTGGTAGGATTTTGTTGACTTTTTTGATCTTCAATATTTAATTGAGGTCTTATAACAAAATGGAATTGTAAACTATGTACTTGGCTATTTTATTTGTTCGTGAAATAACTCATCGTAAAATGTATGCAAAAAAGAATGTAGATTAGATATTGTACGGGTTTGTACATTAAAACTATGCGATGGTTCGGTTATTCACTATTTATTTTTACACGAATTACAATTCTGAACACTGTTAATAATCTTCCGTTTCACTGTTCGCTGTTGAAGTCTTCCGTAGTTCTTGAGTTCCGTTGACTGATGTTTCTCCGATGAATTCCGCTCACTGACTGCACTGAGTCGGCCCGTCGGCCGGTCTTTTATATCCGCGCGGTGATCTCACCGCGCATTGTCGGTGCTTGAGCGAGCGCGCAGGCGCTCGCCCAATCAGGAGCTTGCGTTGTCGAGCGTAGTTGCGCATACGATCATTTTACAGTTACAAGTTGTTTCTATTTTATATTCTACATAGTTTCTATATTTTTATTTATTATACTATGCTGTTTATTTACATTAATCTTACGCTATATCTTTATTTATACATTACAAGTTCTATCGCTATTTATTTTACATATATATTATATTCTATACTATTTCTATGATGCTATCCCGCACAGATATATTTATATAAAGACCCTAATATAAACCAACGATTCTCAAAGTTAATTGACATACTTAAATAAACGCTCTTTCACATATTGTGATAAAAATATATTAATAAACAATATTTCCGTGAGCTATTTATAGAGAGAGGTAAGCCTACTAAGATTATGAGTCAATTATACAATTAGAATATATTAATGCACTTATAGTTAAAATCTGTGCAGAATACAAGAAGCTTGAAAATTATTGTCATATGCAACTTAAATTCTAATCATTAAGTATTATTGATATTACTTATAAATTGTCATAAACCCAATGCAAAAGATGATTGAAATACAATAAAATAAGCTTTAGCACAATAGTCGAAGGTTGTACTAGGAAGATTTTTTTTTTGTGTCATTTTGCACCTCGCACATTTTAACAAAACTTGTTATATATTTTTCTTAATTCAGTAACTCAAACAAGTCTAAAAGAAATCAATTGACTCAACATTAATTTGCATATTGAGATACTTCTGTTCAAGCCAAGATTATAGGAAACTGCTGAAATAAAGTGTACCATAAACACTTCATTGGTTTCGTGTTCTAGTCCTTAAAAGTGCGAAGATATGTTTTGAAATAGAAATAGTTTCTCGACACTTCATTTCAAGTAGAACATCTTATATATAAAGCTTAGATACACTGGATTAACTACCACCTTAGCACTTTCTACAATAGAGCATGGGACTATATGGGTTTTATTTACTAGCAATGATAACTTCTATAAGAATGACTATCGATTTAACTTACTATTAAAATGTGTATAATATAATTTTTCAGATCCTAGTTGGATACTAATAGCGTCCTGCCTCAGTTCTGTGCTATGTGCGAGTGTCCGCGCCCGTTCCTTCGTGGTCCATAGACAGTTGTTCCGTGAAATATCTGGTGTACTTCACACTCTGCGAGACCATCTCACGCTGATGGGGAAACCAATAGATGTTATACGGAACGCTAATCATGTGAGCCACTTTTATTTCATAAACATTGTTTTAAACCCCTCCAAATTATTTAGGTGCCTCAAAACTTAATAATAATGCTATAGTATGGTCGCGCTTGCTTAAAGAATAGTTGGCGAATATTGTAGAATGTTCTCGACATTGAGCAGTACCGCCATCTCGTGATTAGTGCGCCAACTATTAGCTATACGTTTATTACAACATTCCTTTTGTTCAAATTAAGGTAAACAAGTAGAAAAGTAGATTATAATAAAGTGAACATTGTTAATTAAACCCTAGCTCGTAACAGTGTTTATATTATAAATGCAAAAGTTTGTAGGCTTGCAGTATGAATGTTTATCGCTTTGTCACGCAAAAATTATCGAACAGATTTTTTTTAAAATATTCAACTGATGAAGTTTAGAAATCGAAATAAATATAGGTTATAATTTAATCGAAAAACCATATAGTTTAAAAAAAAATACAATTAGTTTTTATAATAAGTCTCGTTTCACACACTGTAGATGGCGCTGACCGAATTTGTCCTATATATTCTTTATATGTATTATTTAATAATATTTTACAGGAGCCGACCTTAAACACATTGAACTGGGTTCTCATCCTAGCGAGCAGTATGATGGTTGATTATGCTCCAGCTAAAGACCGTCTGTCAGAAGACATCGCCACCTCCCTGACGCGGTTGTGGCCCTGGTGTATGATGACGGAGGAGTTACGAAATAGTGTCATGAAGTTTCTATTGACATTCACTAATGATTGCCCTAAAGGTATCCATTATTGCTTATACTTAAGTCTGTAAAAGTTGAATATATTTATTTATATATGTTACTGCATTCCAATAATTCGGATTTGTCGTTTAAAAACATATAGAGCGATTCGCCTATAAGATATTTTTACTAGAGCGACAGAGATAGTAATTTTTGTAGGCCTCTAGTAACTTGTCATAAGATTTTTTATGTAATCCTTGTGCTTTGACAAATAGTGAAAGTTTGATTCGTCTTAATATACAATCTCAATGTTTTTGATAAAATAATAAATTATTATTTCTATTTAACTTTATCAATGTGACGAAACATAAGTGACCATTAAAAAGCAAGTTTAGATACTGAAAGATAGATTTGTACTGTGGAACGCCTTATTTCTTGGTATCCAGTGTAATAAAAATTAATACTCGCTATTCAGACGGAAAAATTCTAAATGACATTTTTTATATATTATTAGGAAGACATTAGATAGTTACATCATGTTTTACAAATGTGTTACTACTGTAATATTAAGAAAATTTCGATTCATTTATGTACAGACATTTTAATACGTATAATACAATATGTTTGTTGTATTCCCAGCTTGGTCGAGTATGGTGAGTTGTGTGGGTGGTCGCAGTGTGTTGTGTGAGGTGTGCTCGTTGGTGTGTCGCGAGGCGGCCCGGCCCCGACATACGCGGACCCTGGCCGCCGGTCTGAGGGTCTTGACGCACTGTGTACACCATCATCACTGTAGGGCTGTCATTCTTAAGGTACTCAACTATATATGATAATTTGCAATAATTTCTTATAAAAATGTAATCTACCGCCATTGATTTCTTATTTTCTGGTCTGGATGCCTGTAGAATACGCTCACTGTTTCACGAGATTCAGCAGTGTGGTCACGGACATGACTTGACATGAAAAATAATAAAATAACGTGTAATAATCCCAAAATATTAGTTACATCTATATGTATATATAAAAATAAAATGCTGTTCGTTAGTCTCACAAAAACTCGAGAACGGCTGAACGGATTTATCTTATCTTAGTCTTGAAATGTTCGTGGAAGTTCAGGGAAGGTTAAAGGCTGAAATTTTTTTTATTAATTTCCCGACAAAATCCTAAAAACAGTCGTATATTTCACATACAAACTTTTTTTTTTACATTAGATTTGACAACTGACTAATATGTCAATCATTCTGTTCGGTTGAAACAGGAAAAATTTAATAAATACATATACCTGATTATTTGTGGCCTCTAAGACGGAATAGAGTTCGCCTGCTCAGTTATACATTTATTACTAAGTGCAAAAGCTAGTATTCTAATATTAATGTTTGTGTAGAGCGACGTGTTATCAGTATGGTGTAAGCTTCGCGGCCGGTGTCCATCTTCTGTGTCGTGTTGGTGTTCTCTGTGTACGTCTGTGTGTCGTCACTCGGACGGAGCGGCGGCTGTTTTGAGCTCCATACAGTCGAGGCCGGCGCCCGCCGCCTTACTGCCGGCCCTCGCTAACGCTGCACATCACTGCAGACATGCCTTCTTGCAGTCATGTTAGTTGATAGCATTTTTCTAAACATATCTTTTTATAGTTAATTTTGGCTGGTGATTAATTGTACTTAAATTTGAGAGTAAAACGTGTAGTAATCTGAAGTGTTCAATAACTTCGCAGTGACTTTAAGCGTTGTATCCCTATACGGTAATTGAAGGGTTAAGTAAAAACGCTATCTTCTCTGTTAATTTACTTTGGAATAATTTGCCACATTCAATCGCATCCCTATATTCCTATGTACTTATTACATAAAAATGTCATTACTTCAGTAAAATCATAAACATAATATATCTGAAACAAAAATTCGGTTCATATTCATTTAATTATATGGTGACATAATTTTCATTTATATATTTGTTACAAAAAATCCCTCGATAGTTCATCTGTTATAATAATTATGGTAATTTAATATTTTAAAAGTGTGGTATTTCACAGCGGACCTATTGGAGTTGTTATCTAGCTGTCTGTTGACTGGTGACACGGCCGAGGTTGTTGATTCAGCACGAGCGGTGTGGGCGCTGGCTGCTAACAACCACAGAGTATGAACAATATTTACTATATAATTAGAATGAATGGCCTATTGGTTAAAGGCCCGCCTCTCGTGAATGAGGGCGCGGGTTTGATCCTGGCAAATACCAATGTGAATTTTCCGACTCATATGTACCTTCTAAGAGTATTTGACGGTGAACGAAAACATCGTGAGGAAACCTGGACTTATAGTTTCACAATTATAAGTTTGAAATCACCAACCCGTCTTTAGCAAGCGTGGTGATTAATGCTCGAACCTTCTCCATGTGAGAAAGAGACCTTTGCTCTAATAGGCTGATAACGAATACAGAAATACTTAATACATAGGAAGTCATGTACCACAACTCTGTTGATGTTGAGGAATTTTCCATTTGATGTTTGATTTGTAATTCAATTAATGTTTATTGACTTTCGGTTGTTCATTTGATAATGTATTTAACTGTTTCATCAGAAGTATGTATATAACCGATTTGAAAAATAAATAAAATTGTCAAATAGAACCAGAACAAAGAAAGGGCTTCATAAATGCGTCTTGATTATATAGTGATATAGTATCAAGATCAAGATTATATCTTGTTATAAGCTATTATTATTTTTTTTGTATTGAAATGGACTAAAGCAATTTAATTTTTAAAGGCTAAGCTGGTACTCCGTAGTGCGGGGATACAAACAGCAGTACAGACTACTCTGCAGCGTTTGCAAAAAAACAAAGATGTCGCCACTCAACGAGCTGTGGAGTTACTGACCTACACCAACACCGTACTCCAAGCTATATGACATTTAATAAAAATATATTTATATTATACTTATTGTTGTTTAATAAATATATGTATATTTTTATGTATAAAGATATTTTATTTCAATGAATCCTTACATATTTTTTGTGATTTTTAAGTATAAAATAAATCGGACACATATAATTAATAAGATTCAGAAATTAAGCGGAATAAAAATAATAATTATGGAAAATAATACTTAGCAAATTTATATATAAAAAAATTGTCTTTTTATATTTCTAGGCGTTTATTAATTAGTTAAGGTAAAACGTTTAAAAATGTTTTTGGTAGTTATTAACTAATTCCAGGAAGGTAAGATCAAACATAAATTCTCCAACAGTGAAGACAAGTAACTTTTTCAGAGAAATAAGAGAATATAAAAGGAAATAAATAATTAAACACAATTAGGAGTTAACATAGTGTTTGATAAATTTTCTGTTACCAATCCATTTGATTTTTATTAAATGGTCGTTTAAACACATTTATTGCTCTCATATTCAATTCATTTTCATTCGTAATATTCAATACTTCAAATAACTAATGTATCTTAATGCTTTCAAATTAATTCATAGTTACGTAATAACTAATTGTAAATAATGACATTTATAATTCACCATATTATATTTTTATTTGGAATATTTAATCTGGGAGTATCAATACTTTTTGCAAAATGGTGTATTTTTTAGTCCCAAGATATATGAAAAGTATGAATTTAATAATGATTAATAGATTTCATGTTCATATAAGTTAACATAATTTGAAATTATTCTGTTTTTACAAATATACCTACCTAAAAACATGCTTGTTAGGCGAAGTCTTACTGACCAATGTTAGCTTGCAACGTCGAATTCTTTACACAACAGTATACTTATGTTTATACTTTGCTATTACTCTATATTACTGATTCTTAACACATGTACGAATTTATTTATTGTTTGTGTAAGCGATGAATTGCGTCAACGGTTCACTCAAGCAACATTAGTTTATTGTTAATAATGTAGGTAGCTGTAACATGTATAACATTGCTCGCAATTGGCAGTGGAAGACGGAAAACGGTCAACATAAGTACGTTTTTCTTATCTTGTATTCAAGTCGATAAGGTAAATTCAAACGTGTGTCCGTCTCGAGCGATCATCGTAATCAAAACGTTTATAGCGTCAGGGAAGTTTGTCTAAGTTATTATCGTTGTAAAGCGTGATAATCCCCGCTCGCCGGGCCGGGGCGCCAGGCTGCGTCAGTGAGATCACGCCCCTGCCACTAGCGCGGTTGTAGACGGTTGTACATTCGCATCGTTGATCAATAAGGAACAATGTATCCGCGAGACGGCCGCGGCCCGCTAGCTGACAGTTGACCCGGTCCGCGCCTGCGCCCTAGCGCCCTTCCTTGTTATAGTGTGTCGTGTAGAACAGAATGCTGTCGCCCCAATTCAATTTCCCGCCGGAGAGTTACTCCGCTGTGTTTACAGTCAGCGGTGATGTGGCGAACGCTAACGTGAGTATGTTTTTACCGGCGAATGTCGAGTGGCGAGTCTCGGTTGTGGACGTTATCGGCGTGCGGTATGCGTGTGCGCAACGCCAAGGTCGCCACACTGTATATTGTACACTAGTGCATTCAACTCATTCGATAATACATATATGAAATGTATTCTTTTAATAAAATTATAATAACTAGTTATTCCGTAGACTATTGTATAAGTATTTACAATTCATATATTATACGAATATCACGTATCCTTGTTACATATTATTTCTGCACAGTCATCAATTTAAATAAACTTAGTAATTATAATGACAACTAGCTATTATAACAATATATCGCCATATTGAGAGATAATTTAAGTATTCGTAAGTTACATCTGCTTCGTTGTTTCGTTCCATCAAGGTTAATTCCGAGATTGTTTGAGACGGACTGTAGTTTGCCTTATGTGTGTTTATGTTATCGCACTGTTGCTCTAATAAGGCTACTTAATTTAAATACGTAATATGTACGTGCTATTCAACTTCCCATGAAATCGAATTCAATTGCATTTCTTTATTACAGATAAAAACTTAAGTTTATAACTATACAATAGTTATTTCTTTCTTAGCTGGGACCGATCTCCCCTGATACTAAGAACAAAGAACGTACTCCTATTTCTTGTTTAAAGGTTGAAGTTACCTTTCTAAAATTTCACTAAAATCAGATAGACCGTTGGTTGTAGACAAATCCAATAAAACATATAATATTAGTTAATTTATATTATTTTATTACTTAAATTAGCTCTAGTTAAGTAATTGTTTTTGTTAAAGGTAAACAAAGTATCAGACATTGAAACAAGAGCAGCATCACCGGAGTCAATTCTACAACAACCATCAGCTTCCCTTCTAAATTGCTTTGACTGTGCTGTAAGTACTTGGACATTCCTAATTGGCTTTGATTAATCTATTTAGTCTATCTGGATTTTAAATCTCCATAACATTTAGAATTTATTGTTAAAAGTTTTTAATTGTATAAATAGATAAATGGCAGTAATAAATAAGAGACAATATACGCGTTTTGTAGTACAAGTTTAGATATGTATTTTGTATCAGATTAAAACTGGTTTTTCAGGCGAAACTGATTCCATCGTAACCAGAAATTGAATTTACTTGGACGTTATAGTTTTATACATCAATATACAGTCGTATAAAACCATTAAAATATGTAAGGCTCATTCGAAATTGCCTCCATTAGCTAAAAAAAAGTACTTTAAACTTTCCAGCAAGTAAAAATCATTAACGCCAATCGTATAGAATATAGACAATTTTAGAAACTCCAAATTATCATGGCATTTGAGCCAAACTCTCATATACCCTCTCACTGTCATATGCTGACCGTAAAAATCCAGTGGAATGAGCCCAAGACTGAATGAAGGACTGTCTGCACCTCTAAAAAAGTCTCGAACATTAATTTGTGGACAAATATTGCATTGAGTTATATGACCGACGTGTCTTGTTGCAAGGGTCACTCTCTATTTGGTTATTGAACGGTTGGCTTGGTATTGGGCTTAGGGACTTTTCCAAGAATAATATCTTGATGGGTTTATGACTATTTTTCATATCTTAATTAAAAATTGTCTCAATTACTCTATAGCAAAAATCCCACTAAACCATCTCTGTAATCAGATAATGCTCATGTCGCAAACTGCTGACTAATTAGATGTCTCATTTAGAATTTTTAGCTTAATTACATTCATACTGTTTGTAATAACATTTCTCAGTTGCAAAACAAAGAACTTTTGCCTACTGCTTACATATTTGTTTCGATTTACAATGCTTTTTAAATCATCTTTTAAAGTACACGATATGGTTCTGGTATCTGGTATTATATAAATAGAACCATATCTCCAGAAATAAAGTCCTGCCTTTGGACAGTATCATCCGATTTTTTTTCTTTATTGCTTTGATGTCCTTTTTGGTATGAACACTAACTGACGGAAAAATCTTTTTCAGTCATAATCAGAAGAGGTTTCCTTTTGTACCTACCTGCTTTATGTAAATAATTACAGTGATTTGCTTTTTTATATCATTCTACCAGATTTTAACACCATCGTATCATCGTACCATCAAAATGACCAACTGTTTAAAAAGTACAAATTGCAAATTCAAAAGTAATTTTGTGAAGTTAACAGTTTCTATAACAAGACTTAGTATACATAAATGCTATTAATAAATTACAAATTTAACACAACGATATGATGTATCTACATGTATAATGTATAACATAGGTATACGTCTTCTGTGTTTATCCTTTTGTTAGAATTTTTATTTCAAAATGCGTTTAAACTAAACCACAATAAAATTATTATTAGTTTTTTTTGTACGTTGCGATATGTCTATCAACATTTTTTTACTTTAGTAGAAATTTTCATTCTTTAGTAAAACCGCTTTTTAACTCATTAATAGGACATTAATTTTTATTCTTATTGGGATATTATTTACATTCAAATGCATGGCTTACTGTAGAACTATAATTATTGTGATCGAGATTTGAAACTATTACTTCTTCACTCCAAATGAGTTCAAGAGAAAATTATTTTTCTATGGATTTTTATATTTATTATGACTATACATTATAAGTAGGGTGAATTAATTTTGTTTGTTTTTCGTTGAATTGTAATATTTTCTTTTATTTCAGTTTCGGAATGGTGTTAAAATCCTTCGCAAAGAGAAAAAGCCTAGAAAACCAAAGGTAAGTTTGCAAATATATGTAATAATAATAATTTGTAACAATTCAACTTATGATTGCTTACAATGTGAGTGAACAGGATATCTTTGAACAGAAGGAGCTTGTGTTGGGACACCTTGGTTTTCCATAATATTTAAGAAAACTTTTGAAACATCTTATGAGGTAGGTACTTATATTATGAACATGTAATGTCTAATGATGTCAATACGGTACCGCAATTAGTTCTGTATAGTTAAAACTATAATGATCATTTACCACGTCCAGTCACAGATATAGGAAGATATATATGATTGCAATATTTGCTATACTTTTAGTTTTAGTTATATATAGTTTTTCTCATAAAAACCAATACTGCTGAATTACATGTTAATAGGCGATTATTAATCAATGTATACCGAATATTAACTATTATGGGGTTGCTAGCGATTACTCGTTTTAATGCGTTATTATATTTTTTTTATAATTTCATTTATATTGGTTGATGATAGGATGTAATGAAAGATAAAATCTAAACAGCCATATAATTTGTTTTAAAAATTGGAAAACAAACTGGTTTTTAATTTTCTCCGATTGCTATGTTTAAGGTTTTTACTATACAAATATTACATGTATATGTATTTTGTTTATTTTACTATTATTGTAAGGACAACTCATTCATGAAGGCCAAGAGCTATAGAGATTTCCAAGAATTCTTACCCTTTGCCGTCTCTATTCACTGTTTGACAGCTGCTCGTATAATATAATCACTAAACCGGTCACCTGGTCTGCCTCTCTTTTTGGTATCTGATGATTCCCTTCAGGATATAATTCTTGGAGTCCATGCTTAAACTTTTAATTTAAAAAAATCGTCTTCGTCTTGCTTTTAACTTTGTATAAGTTAGTTTTCATTGTACCAGTTATAATTTTTATTTGTTTTCGTGATATAATTTTTTTGTTTAGTCAATTTCTGCGAACTAATTTTATTATTCATTTTACTTTTCGTTCTTTAATGATAAGTAATTACAAGTATGTATATGTATATAATTTTTAGTAAGGCATCTAAAATAGATGATGGACAACTTCATCAATTAATTAATGATTATAATTTGTTACTTCTAATATTGTTCAAAATTATGACTTTTAGTTCCATATTATTTAACTGTGTAAGGCGAAATATATGTAGCTTGTACGCCATGATCGTTAACCTTCATATTGAATTTGAAATTAGACACAACGAGTGATGCAATGTCACTCGACGTAAACTTTGCCATGTCCTTTTTCGATGAGTTAAATTGTTTTAAATTTTAATACTCTTTATTTTTTTTAAAACAGTAATAGAAACAACTTATTTTGCATTCGTATTTAAAAATTCGTATGGAAAGATATTATAAGGTTTTAAAAAGATAAAAATTACAATATAAAGAAAAAAACAAAACATTATCGTATATTTGAAAGAAAATAATACTTTTTATAAAAGAGTGTTTGATATAAATGAAACTAATATTTTGCGGTTATACTACGCGACTTTATTTTTGATAAAAACTACATACTCCCGACGTTTCGGTTACTTTACAACAACCGTGATCACGGGTTGATCTTAGATCTCATCATTAGTGTTTGATATAATTCATAATTTACATTGTGGGTTGTTTATTTATCTAAGATTTTAATAAATAGCAGAAGTTTATTTATAATATTATAATATTAAATTATTAAAAGCAATTTATTTATAATATTTCTAATTATTGTGTGGCAAAACCGGTATAAAGGTTTTTTAAGACACTTATTTAACTTAAATGAAAAATACGGTAAATTCCATAAATAAAAAGAAAAGAAGAAAGAAATTTAAAACAAGCAAATTGGTTCTTTCAAACACCTCTGCCTTTTATAATACATTAATAAAGAGAAGTTATTACAGAATTACGTCAGAGTTCTGTAGATTAATGTTTTACACGTCATGAGTGTCTCATCCCTTCAACAAAGTCCTTAGCTAAGGTTGGCTTCTTAAAGCTTTTCTTCTAAAATAGCTTAGCTATTCGTAGGCTTACCTCCCCTCGCCATGCAAATCATTCCATTATGTTAAGAGTCGATTCCAGTCCCACCACTGCACCCTCCCTGTAGACGCTGTCAAAAATCAATAAAAATATTGAAAACTAATTACATATTCCTGCATTGTACTACCCGAATGTATATAATAATATATTGCAGTAAAAGAAATCTTCATTTATTCTATTTTATCAAATTTTGTGTAACGAAATAAATTGTTCATTTAAATGTTCAAGAAATAGCACGGTTTATAAATTGGTCGTGATTCATTTGTATAATGTATGGTTTCTAACATGAAACTAAAATTTAGAATAAAAAAATGAATAAATATAAAACGGAATAGATATAGCCAATCTTTATATTTTTTATTTTCTTTTACTATATAAAGGTGATTTATTCAAAACAATTTCAAGAGCTACTATAAAGTATAACCTGTAAATGCTTAAAAAATTCTATAAAGAATGTCGTTCAAAGAAAAAAATATTACAAAATAATTCATAAAACACCAAATCACAATGAATACTTTACGTAACAGTTAGTACAATGAAAAGCATCGAAACTCATAAAATTTTACGAAAACTCAAAACTAAGAATTGAATTTTTTACCGTAAAAAGTATAGTTTTAAAGAGTGTTGAACCCGTTTCACCATACACTATAGATAAAGAAAATACTTTTCGGATTTTAATATTAAAGTGTGACAAAAAAGGCAGTATTAAGAACTCATACACACGAATCTTTTATTTTGATTTTTCAAGTAAAATATTTTGTACGAAATTAAAAAAAAACAATATTTAGCAAAAAAAAGTTTAGCTATTGTTCGCGTTTTATATTTATAATTAATTAAATGGTTTCAAAATATTTCATCAACTTTAATTGGAAGAAGCCAGATTTCTCTTATGTTTTCCGGAAGAAAACGATAAATAACCATAGTAACTAAGAAATTCTACTATTATTTTACCTATTTATATATCTCCGGTATCTCCTTTTATCGTCTTTACTAAAAAATAAAGTCGAAACAATTCTGATTATGTTATTTATTACCCTTGCCATTCTCGATAAAATAATGAAATAAAAAAAACCACAGTATCAAAGTGCATGTTGGATATATAGAAAAAAAATTGTTTCCTACAGCACTCTCGCAGTCAGAAAGTTTTTAAAAGTTATAAAGAAGGTACTCTTATTGTTTGTACATGAAATTATTCGATATGAATAAGCTGTTAAACCCTTCTTAGTCAAACAAAAAAATCACAAATTAAATAAAAAATATTCTCAGATTCCTCGGACCTAATTGTTATTATAATTTAAGTAAAGACTAAACCTTACTAGACGATTTACTAAGATAAGTATGAGTTTAGTCTAAATATTATATAGAAATAACAATAGTATTAATTGCCTTTTAAAATAATCTACTTTGCTTCAAAAATGTTAGCTAAGCCCTAGTTATGCCAACATTAATATATTATTTCATATTCGATTTCGGTATAAAATTGTTTTTTTATAAAGAATATTTAAAAAAACTAAATAAACTCACGTCAGTTTGACCAATAGACGGCAATACGGGAAATAATAACTGTTTATTACAAGTTTGTGAATGACAAACGGGTAACGCTTCGTATATAGTGTCACGATTCAAAATTGTATTTTTCTGGATACGAGTCCTTTTGAGCCTGATTCAAAATTGTGATAACATTGTGTTGCCCTCTCTTACATAATATTATGTTATAATTAATATTATTTTGTCTGTCACCTCTTAATAAGTGTTTATTTTACGAAAAAAAAAAGATAATTTATAGACCTTTCAAATTAAATTCACCATGAAATTCTACGAACATTTTAAAATATAATATTAGTGATGTATATAATAATTATATGTTATATAATCTGTATATTATGTATGAATGAACGTGTATAGGTACCGACTACCGTGTAAGTTCAAGGCCCTATAACATTAAAACATTCGAAGATATTATGGAGGAATTATGCTTTCGATGGAAGATGTATGACTTTTTTTTAAATTAATTCAGAATAATGCTCGATCATACGCTTACGTGGACTGCCGGTGAGTGACCCTCTGACCGGTGGTGGCTGGGATCACGTTTCCTTTTCTATAACATCCAATATTCAAATACTTTTCAGCTTCCGTTTTATATGGCACGTGATTGTAATAAATTATTCTAACCCATAAGGGCCGTTCAAGCAATCTACTTATGATTCATTATGAGTGCCTTATTATGTATGTATGACGAAATTATTTTAAGCTGTACAAAAACATATTTAGGATATCATGTTGAAGAAACTAGACGGTAGATTTAATTACAGTCACGTTTATTTGAATATTTATTTGAATATTGTAATTAAAAGTGATGTCAATTAATATTCTTGTTTGGGAGCTTATCTTCATATAAAGGAGTTTATGTAATTAAAACAAGTTCGAATTAAATAAATATGAGTTAATTATAATGTTTATAATATAATAGATCGATATGAACGAGCTCTAATAACTATTAATACTAATTATAATATAAATATTTATTTTATTGACATTTATTAAGATATATATACTTAAAACATATAAAAGATAAATTCAGAATAAAGAGGTAAAGATAATTTTGTACCTTTTCATGTCATATTATAATTTGTGTCATGTCTAGTATAATTTTCTAAAGGTCGTCATTTCTCACGTGTTCGGTTTCTGAAACTGCCTACAACTAAATCAGGTTTTTTTTATTTGCCTTATTTAATTCAAATATAAAGATAGTATGAAAAATATCTTAATAATATTATGGTTGTCAAAAAAAGGTTCAATATATTTATATATTTTCTTTTAATAATATTAACGGATCTGGCTGATCGATCTTCAATTATTAAGAGATACAATGATGAAAGCTAATGAAATATTTCCAATGATTGCAATATACAATTTATTTGGCAAAGGTAATATGTTAATTTAAATAAAGAAAGGGAAGGAAATGCAATG